GAATCACTTGAACCCAGGAGGCAGAGGTTACAGTGAGCCGAGATTGCACCACTGCACTCCAGCCAGGGTGACAGAGCAAGACTCCATCTCACAAAAAAAAAAAAAAAAAAGAAAAAGAAAAAAAGTCTAAAATGTGGATATGGTAAATGGTCTGTTAGCAGTTTGAAGCCTGGGAGTCAAAATATGGCCTCATAAGAGGAGGGTTCCGAATTAGAAGTTGGCACTTTGATTTAAAAGGAAACAAAGGACTTGAGCATACAATTACACAGACCTGAGGATGGGCACAGTGGCTCATGCCTGTAGTCCGGCACTTTGGGAGACCAAGGAGAGTGGATTGCTTGATCCCAGGAGTTCCAGACCATCTTGGGCAACATGACAAAACCCCATCACTACAAAAAATACAAACAACCAGGCATTGTAGCATGGACCTGTAGTCCTAGCTACTCAGGAGACTGAGATGGGAGAATGGCTGAGCCCAGGAGGTCGAGGCTGAAGTGAGCCATGCACACCACTGCACTGCAGCCCGACTGACAGAGCAAGACCCTGTCTCATAAATAAATAAAAGTAAAAATGAATTTTTTAAAAGCCTATGTATATTCTTCCCCCCTAAAAATGTCAGACAGAACTGATTTGACTTTAAATGCTACAAAATAGGAAAAATAATTAAATCCAATTACTGCTAACGTAGTTAACAGACTGGTATTTAGGAGATATCGAGACATAAGTTGAGGAAATATTATGGCCAGGGGATATTAGAACTGCAAACACCCCTGAGTTTCTTCATTAGTTCTGGTCCAAAACGTACCATAAATTAGATTCTGTGTCGATTTTGAACGATAACCTGTTAAATCATAACGTTCCTTCACTCAGAGTGGAATTTGGAATTGTTAAGATCATCTCAACTACAGATTTGTTTAGGTTCCTATGAATAGTACTAGAAGAAGACTAGATGAAGCAATTGGGTTTCTCTGTAAGAGAAACAACTGGAAAACCCAGCTTGGACAAACGTAGCCACAGAGAGGAAGGAGGGTCTACAAAACACAGTTGTCATAGTGTGATCAGGACGCAGCTATGAGAATGAATGAATTGCCAAAATTCCCCTAGAGAAGACAAACTTATTTTCCTAGGCAATCATTTTCTACATCAGGGTGTACAAAGCTAAGGTCTTTTAGTCCTTATATCCCTCTACTCAAGACTGGAGGAAGCAGTCAACTGGCCTAGCTGGCATCACTAACCTTCCTCTTGAGGACCAGTCCCACCTGATTACATCTGATGGGGAAAAAGAAAACCTCAAATGATGATGTTTGGAAGGGGAAATGGATGCTGTACAGAAAATAACAGCATCCTGGAAACCCCCAGCACTTGGACGGAGGGGCATTTCTGCCTCTTTCCTTTGAGAAATTACATCTGCAAAGACACTGAATGTTCTGTTAGTGGACTAAGAACAATGATATAAGCCACAAGATGAATACTATATTTGACCAGAAGTAGAAGATCAAGGACATCCAGGATGGATCCTAGGTGCAATCCTTTAATGTAATCCTATGGAATAAAGTATGAAAAGCAAAAATGAACTTCCAGAGGTCAAATAACCAAGACAGGAAAACAGAAAACTAAATTCCCGTAACAACAACAAAGCCAGTCATCTCACTTGGAAAGCTAATGATTTATTATCAAAGGCTGATCTTTCATATGTGGGAACAAGTTGGTCCATCATAATTGATTAGAAATAAAAAAGACACCTGATGAGATTATCCAGATCCACAGAGTCAGAAAATTTCTGAAAAACAGAGACATGATATGAATTATTTAAGAGTTCTAAAGAGACTCAGGCTTTTCAAACCTTTTTATGATATCAAGTGACATATCAATTACTGATTTGGGGATAATTTTATTACAAGATCATGATATTGTAAAACATTCTGTAATGCACCCCAGCTGAAAATGATTGCCAAGGGAAAGAAATTTATTTGTCTTTTTTAAAGAAAGAAAGTTTGGCAATTATTTGAGCCATAACATAGTTGTTTAGGAGAGTACCCTGAGGACGGATCATTAAGCCTTAACATTTGGATAAAAACTACCACTGAGGAGCAGACGTGGCTATAGAAGATTTCAGGACTTCTAAATAAATATTCAACATGTTCCTCATTGGTAAAAATCCTATAGAGGATGCCTCATAAAAAATAGAGCCTCTTAATACATCTCAAGAGTCTATCCTAACAGGACATTATACTCATAATCTTTTCCTGAAATTAAAACAGTTTCACTTTTTAAAACATTAAAATGAATTTTTTAATTCAAAAAATTTTTTAAAACAAGAGCTGACATCTCTGCAAAAAAAATCATCCATGTATATTCTCCCCTCCCTAAAAAAAAAGCAAATAGAACTGATTTGACTTGAAATGCTACAAAATAAAATTTAAAAATTAAATCTAATTACTGCTAATATAGTTAATAGACTGGTATTTAGGAGACTTCAAGACATAAATTCAGGAAATATTAAAGCCAGGATTTATTAGAACTTCTAGTACACCTGGGCTTCTTCATTTGTTCTGGTCCAAATGTTTGAGCCATAACATCATTGTTTAGGAGAGTATATGCTAGGGACTGATCGTTAAGCCTTAACACTTGGATAAAAATGACCACTGAGGAGCAGAGGTGGTCACAGAAGATGTTCCTGCCCACACTGGAAACTTGAGATGCCCCAGTATCTCCAGTCTGTTCCCTGGTCTCAGTGGTGGGAGTCAGACACACATAGGGGAATGGGCACACTATGGCCATACAAAGACAACATTCAGTCATCATAAAACAAGGAGAAACCTCTCTTCAGACTCTAAGAAGCCCCAAGATTAGTCCTGAGAGCAATATTTGTAAAAGAAAGATAAGGTTTATTTGCCATAAAAATAGGACTGATGTACAAATGTCCTCCCAGCACTAGAAAACAGCAAACAGCCTTGGAAATATCTACTGAAAAAATGGATCTGAACACACCCCGGAAGTCTTCCAACAAAGACCAGACACCACTTTGCCTTGTGATCTCGGACCACCCAACACCATCATCCAACTTCCTCATTTGAAATTCAAATTTAACCAGGCTCTTCCCTAATACTGGCAAGACAGACTTCCTCACCTTGAATATTGATAGTATCTGTCTATCCAAAATTCTTAGCCTTGGGAAAAAGACTTCTTATGAACATCTTTACTTCCTCTCTAGTCTCCCTTGCTACTATCCTCTCCCCCATCCCGCTCCTACCCTTACTGCATCTAAGCTTCTCCCGCACAGAATGACCTGTAGGACTACAAGCATTCTATGACATTTCTAGCCGTGGAACCTTGGCACATTTGTTCTCTCTATCTGGAATGTCCTTTCTACTCTTTGCTCTCGTGTTTCTTGTGGCTCTCAGTATTGTTTCAGTATTCAAATTCAAGCATTCTGTCTTTCAGCATTCAACTTCACATGATCTCTCCTGGTTTCCTTAAACATTCCCCACTGTTGAGTTAGGTACTCCCCTGTTAATTTTCCCTAGCCCTCTTGCATTTAAAGCACATAATTACTTGTCTATGTTTCCATAGACTGGATTTTTATATGAATAAATCCAGGGACCACAAAGGCAGAACCACAAAAAGAAGGCAAATCATACCAGAAACACTAAATTTCAGTATTCTATTTTCTAACCTCAAACATCTATCCTTCTAGCTCTCTCAGAACCTCATTTTCTGGTCCTTGACTTGACCTCATAAAGATGTCCAGTCTCTTCATATTTACATAGATACCAAGTCTTCAAATGCCTTCTTGCCTTCCCTCCCTACTCAATCTGTATCCACGTTTTTAAAGCCATGAACTTTGAATTCATACCTTCATTTTTTTTTTCAAAAAATCTAACCCTCCACAAATGTCTGCTGTCACAAATATTCTGCTGTCATTAAGAACACCACCTCAGGATAATGTCATACCACCGTGCACATCAAGATGTCTAAAAATTGTGTTATCTACATCTGTCTGTTCCTCCTTCCCTTCTGTATCAAAAGATGAGGTGTCTGCCCTGCAGCTCAACCATCATTGAAGATGAATCCCTTTATCTGTGCTTTCGAAAGCATCCTCTATAGGCCTTGGCTCTGTGTATTAACCTATCCCTCTTATTATCTTCAATTTCTCTTTGTTCTGGCTCTTCATTTTTAGCACACTATTAGGCTAAATTTTCTCTATTAAACCCCTTTAGCTCCATATCTTCCTCCTAGCTTTGACCTACTGTTTTCCTTCTCTTAACAGCCAAGACATAGCATTATTCTCCACATCTTCACACATCATTCACTCAGCCAATGCAATCATAGCAAGATTCTGACTCTACAAAAAAAAATTTTTTTAAACATTCTGGCATGGTGGCATGCCTGCAGTCCCACCCACTGGAAGGCTGAGGTGGGAGGATCATTTGAATCCAGGTGTTCAAAGCTGCAGTGATCTAGGACTGTGCCACTGCATTCCAGCCTGGTTGACAGAGTGAGACCCTGTCTCAAAAAACAAACAAATAAAACCAACATATAATGAATTAGCGAGAAGGCAGAAGAATTTCTAGGCCAGAATGAGACCTAATTAAAAATATCCACAAGGGGATTGGTCCGTAAAATAGCAGTATCTATCTAAGAAAGAGGGTACCTCAAGCCAATGGACTTTAAGAATTTTAATTCTATTGTAAAGAATACACTAGGCTGGTAAAGTGTCACCCCAATTCTATAATTTCCCTCATTTGGGGTCCTTCTGATTTTATTTAGCTTCTCATGTAGAGTGCATGAAGTTCTGATAAAAAGAGAATCTCTCATTTCAGAATTCAGAACTGGAGGTATAGATTAGTTATCCTGGTCAGGATGAATTATATACAGTGAATCTGAAAGTTCATAATTAAGTGTTAAGGGCAACACATTATTTTTAATAAAGGAAATAAATCATTCACTTTAACAGTAATTTTATGTCAGGATTAAAAGAAGAAATAAAATACTATTACCATCAAAAATTCCCATGAAGATGTAGAGGTTGCATCCTTCTCGAATATTAAAAGAGCCTTCTGCATTAAGTAAATTGCTTTGGATAATGTATTCTTCTTTATTTTATTCATTATATTTAATTCTACAAAGGCAAAAAAACATTTTACCAAAAAGGTGAGATTAAAAACTATCTTTCAAATTTTTTGGAAATACCAGTTATCCCAATTTTAATTACCTGTAAAACAATCAGGGCTTCTAGATTGTTTTAACTTTTCCAAACCCTTGGTAGAAATATCTTTGCTAACAGTTGGGGTCTGCAAAACTGAAGAAGAAAAAGACTGTCATAACAATTAAGTATGTATCCAAGACAGGAAATGTTTTTTAAACACTAGGAAGTGACTATTTGTAAACCTATTGCTTCCTCTCTCACGTCATCTTTTTCATTAATAGATAAAAATTCATATAAATCTACTATAATGCAGTTTTATCAAATCCTCTTTTATTGCCACAATATACCTGAGGACACAAGAAATTCCAAATTATAAAATTATTTAATTTTCTATCTCAAATAAAATCACCCTAAAGGTTGATAGAATCCAACCTACTTCTGTTGACTTTACCTTTTCACAAAGTACAGATGGCAAGTCTGGATACCAGTGACAATATGCTGTCAAAACTCTGTACTCAATGTCCCTTCTAGAAAAACTGTTTCATCTAAGGTCCTCTGGATACCACACAAAGACCTCTACTCTCCTCCAGCTGTGGCTGATGAAATCAGAGGCTCTCTCAAGATTTTTAACTAAAACATGAACTTACCAGTTGTTGATACTGATATACAATTGGGAATGACCATCATGTTGGTTCAGTGAAGACAGGAACATGGATGAGGGGAAAAAAGGATACAACTATACTAACCCAGGGAGATGGAAACTGCAGCACTGATTCTTGATTTTCAGGTATGGTCCTTAAGAGACCTGGTAATATGTCTGCCCTTGGAGGTATACAAGGGTACCTACAGTAACCTTACAATAAATCCCTTTTACTGAGTTTTAATTATTTGTACTAATGCACATGAGCCACTATGGGATGGTAATGGATTCATGAAAAGATGTTAACAGACACCATTAAAGGATAGAAGGCCTCTGCAATGGCAAAGGGTAAGGAAACATCTGCATGGAGATAACAATGCAGAGCAGAAAATAGTGCATCATTCTCTCAGTACCAAGGATATTATAAATGCTAGTTAAGCTTTCCTGATTATAATCACTGGAGATAAAGGATGAGACTGCAAAATAATTCTGAATGTCAGATACAGACGCATCATATTTATGTCATGGTCATCAAGAGGCAACCATTATTAAATAAGAATGCTAATGTAGGGAACTTTAGTCTGACAACAGCATACTAAAGAAAGACAAGGTAGGGGAACAAAGTGATCAGCTGCGCTAGGACAGCAGTTCAATAAAGCCAAGAAAAAAATCGAGGAAACCCAGAGATATCACAAGGAAATAATAACTAATTCCATTTACATTTGGACTCAAGTCTTGCATCAATATCTTTAAGTGGTCTGTGATCAAAATTCATTTGGTCTTCAAAGATTTATGAATGACAATTAGAGAACAAGCTATTTGGTTTAAAAAAAAAAAAGAACTATGAGTTAGGGGAAAAAAAACCTCTATTCCTCCACTAAAGGAAATAATACAGTTACTACATGAGAATCATGGGTTAGTTTCTTAAAACCTGACACAAAAATTCTATTTACATTTTGAAATACATTTCTTACACAAATCTTTTCAGCCCCAAAAATGTTCAAGGTTATTATTCTAAGTAACTCATTTATGTATTAGAAAAACTGTTATCAAATTTTCAATTTATACATGATGACACAGAGATATTTTAATTATTATTTGCTTCCCTCCACACCCAGCAGGTCATATGAGAAGTAGTTTTTGAAACTATATAAATGTTTAAAATAAAATGTAAAAAGATGACAACTGTAAAAAAATAAAAGGTTAGAGAAAAAAGGAAATTTTATATAAACAGAATGCAAGCCTGGTGCAGTGGCTCACACCTATAATCCCAGCACTTTGGGAGGCCAGGGCGGGCAGATCATTTGAGGTGAGGAGTTCGAGACCAGCCTGACCAACATGGCAAAACCCAAGCTCTACTAAAAATAAATACAAAAATTAGCCAGGTGTGGTGACACAAACCTGTAGTACCAGCTACTTGAGAGGCTGAAGCAGGAGAATCGCTTGAACCTGGGAGACAGAGGTTACAGTGAGCCAAGATCACATCACTGCACTCCAGCCTGGGTGACAGAGTGAGACTGTCTCAAAAAAAAAAAAAAAAAAAAAAAAACCAGAATGCAAATACAAATAAGTGGTCACAAGTATGTATCAAATTGAAAAAAAATTAAGACTAGAATTAATTCAAGTAAATTTGAACACAGTTCTCTGACATATGATATTTTCTTAAGACCTACTCAGTAGGTTTGTTAATAGTGGTATTGGTTAAATAATTTTGAAAGTACTTTGTTTATTTGCCAGGATAAAACAAATGAGTAATTACATTGATGTTGTTAGGAACCAGAATGCTCAATATGAGAGAAGGAAAATACAAAAACGGAGAAGACGAGAAGAAACCCTTTAGCGTTGGAATTGGAGACATCAAAAAAAAACTTGTGGTCAGGCACATGCCTATAATCCCAGAACTTTTCGAGGCTGAGGCAGATCACTTGAAGTCAGGAGTTACATATTACGTATTACATATTATTTTTGTATATACTGATAGACTCTTTTGCATTTTCAAAGTAGTCAATCAAATAATCTAGAAATAACAGTTTTGTTTCTTCTTTTTCAATCCTTATATATTTAAATTATTTTTCTTATCTCCTTTCATTGGCTAGAATTCTCACTGTAAGTATTTTTTTCATCTTCCTGCACTAATCAGCAGTGTGTGTCACATTGCTCACTCTGAAATTAACTAGCATTCGAATAACTCTATTTAGCTCTATATATAATATGATTTAAATGCTTTACACGAATCTTCCAGGAACTCATTCCTGACTTTCTTATTTGATATAGATATTTCTTTGTGCCCATAATATTCTGAGCCCACCCCCATTACCAAATGTATCAAACTCAACTGATACATTGGCTTACTTATCTAGAAGCTCAAAAGTAGAGCCTTTCTAATTTGTACCTAACCAAATACGATGCCTTGATTTTAGTAGGTACTCAATAAATGTTTGCTTGGTTATATTAACAAAACTAATTTACTATAACTCAAACAAACATAATTGATTAAATTTTTTAAGAAGTTTACTAACTGATTTAATATGCAAAGACTAAAGCAATATTGAAAGGTTTAATTATGTTTTTATTATGTTAATTAGGGAATTAAGAAAAATAATAAAATTTATCTGAAAACTTCAGTCAACAAGAACACAGTTTTCAAATGAAATTGAATCTGTACTGGAGTTGGGCTTGATATTGATTCAGAACAGTTACTTGCTTTGATGACTACTACCTTGCAATTTGTCCAGAAGCACAACAGCTATTCGATGCTGAGCTTGAATTAGTTCAAGATGCAAATCCATCATGAAACTATTTGAGGCAAGTGGTTTGTAAGTATCTCCATCTATGTGGTGGGTATGCTTTGGTTCAACAGAGTTGAAATAAAAAGAAATACGGTTATCAAAACACACAAAAATAGGTGTATACTATTATCATTCAATTTATCATCATCTTATTTGTAACCATCACATTCTGCTCACTTCTCAGCCCTTTGCAGTTAGCTTAAATACTAATAAATATGCCCTTAGAATTCATCAGTGTCTTCTTCCTTAACAAATTCAAAGATTCCTCACTGGGAACAGGGAAATATATTTCTGGCCTATGAGAGGTAAGTCACCACAAGTCATGCTTTACTTATCTACTTACTTTCAAGGCCAGTCCTCTTCCCAGTTAAGTAAAACTTACAGCTAATGTAAGACTTTTCCATTCTTACCTTGGCATAGCAGTGGTCAATTACTGAAGATCCATTTGGCAAAGTGGTTGGCATGCAATTCAAATTTATTCCACCTATTGCTTTGTCAAGAAGTTTATAAGCAAAATGTAACTGTTCCACAGGATTTTTCTAAAATAATTTTATAAACAAAAAAGAAAAAGAAAAGCAAAAATCAAATGCAACATTTCCAATTTTTTGGAAATAATTCAAAACCAAATAACAGAAATTTAAATAGTCTATTTAACATTAACAATGTTATGTTTCTAACTAAATGTATTTATCTGTGATTAAATGTGGCGTGCTATCGACATGGACGAAAATAATAAATTTCAACATTTTTCCAAATGCAAATTAAACTTTTCACAAACATGTATTAATATATATAACTTCCATTATGGTTTGCAAAATTCTGATTGTACCAAATGTACATTTAAATTTTTAAAACAGAGTTCACATAGTTTGTCACTTTCACATACCTAATTTGATTTTTTAAAACAATTTCAGAATCTCAGACTAGAAATTTAGAGCCCATCAACTCAATCTGTCCACATTAGTCTACATCATGATTTTCAAAAACTAAACTTTTTGAAATGTAATCATCCTCACAGAGAGACAAATACAGAGAATAATATAAAGAGCAGCCAGCTGTGCCCAAACTTTCAAATTTTCCATATTTTCCAGATCATTAAAGGAAATAAAGCATACCAACATATGCATATAATTTAAATCCCCCATATAACTGTCCACAGTGCCACTCCTTCTCTCTACCCCTAGAGGTAGCCACTGTCCTTGAATTTGGTTTTACCTTTTTTTGCATGTTTTCAAACTTTTACTGCATGTGTATGTATCCTTACCCATATGCAATATCACTTTGCATATTTTTAATTCTCTCATAAAATTCTGTAGACTCCTTTTAAAACTCAACCATATGTTGCTGAAACTTATTCATGCTGGTATATGTAACTCAATGGGTCAGTCAGGGATTGGTTATAAACACAAAAGTATTCTACATATTTCAAGCAAAAGAAGACTTAATACATAGAATTAGAGGTGCCCATCACCATTGCAAGTCACGGGAGAGCCCAGATCAAGAAAGCTGCCAGTAACAATTTTGCTTCATGCAATTCTCAAGAGTTTGCTCAGAAGCCTCTGTGAACCTAAGAATCTAGGAGGTAACTAACAACAACCTCAAGCACCTACCACACGGAAGCAGGTGAATTGCAAGAGTTTGCTCAGCATGCCTGGTAAATTCACATCATCCATCTGCCACTGTGGATTAAAAACTGTCTCTTCTCTTCTGCATTACAAAGTCATGCAAATGCCCCTCACTGAAGACTAACTTAAAACTGTACAGAAATGAGACAATACGGTTCCAGGTTTCCCCGCTATAATGCGAAGGTGACTATAGAAGGGAATTGCTATGATGCCAAGTTTACTCTAGTACAAGCCTACTCCAGTTCAATTCATCCTCACAGCTACAATGAAATGGTATTACTTTGAGGAATATGTCACAATTTATCTACTCTTCTGCAAATGGATGTTTAGATTATTCTTACTAAGGCCAGGCGTAGTGGCGCATGCCTATAACCCCAGCACTTTGGGAGGCCAAGAAGGACGAATCGCCTGAGGTCAGGAGTTCAAGTCCAGCCTGGTCAACACTGTGAAACCCTGTCTCTATCAAAAAATACAAAAATTAGCCAGGCATGATGGTATGCACCTGTAGTCCCAGCTACTTGGGAGGCTGAGGCACGAGAACCACTTGAACCCAGGAGACAGAGGCTGTAGTGAGCCCTAATCATGCCACTGCACTCCAGCCTGGGTGACAGAGTGAGACCGTCTCAAACAACAATAACAACAAAAAAAAGATTACCATTACTAAACATGCTGCCATCAATTGTACTTGTCTGTGAATAAACACAAAGTTGATGCTTTCTTTTTTTCTTTTTTTTTTGAGATGGAGTTTTGCTCTTGTTGCCCAGGCTGGGGTGCAATGGTGTGATCTCCGCTCACTGCAACCTCTGCCTCCCGGGTTCAAGCGATTCTCTTGCCTCAGCCTCCTGAGTAGCTGGGATAACAGGCATGTGCCACCAGGCCCGGGTAATTTTGTATTTTTAGTAGAGACGGGGTTTCTCCATGTTGGTCAGGCTGGTCTCGAACTCCTGACTTCAGGTGATCCGCCTGCCTCAACCTCCAAAAGTGCTGGGATGAGCCACTGCGCCCAGCCCATAGTTGATATTTTCTTTACAGTTCTTACACCTTTTCTCTGCTTTCTTTTTTTACCCATATGTCTAAGACTTCCAGGACATACTGAACAGAAGAATGACAGGTATCTTTATGTGGTTACACCACTATTAAAGGGGCTGCTTTTAATCTTTTACCATAGGTATAGCATTTACTGAAGGTCTTTGGATGATACCATTTATTAGATACAGAGGTTTTCATATATTCCTAAGTACTAAGAGTTTTTTTTTTAAAGAATAGGTGCTTTTTAAAGAGGATGGTTATTGAATATTATCAAACACTTTTTTTTTGCATCTCTTGGTCTAAGTGGTCACATGTTTTCCTTTCATCAGCTAATGCAATGTATTGCATTATATATTTCTAATGTCAAATCATCCTTGTATTCCTAGAATACAAATAATTTTACACTGCATATATAGTGTAAAGTCCATTAATCTATGCACTATATATATAGTGAAGGAGGGGGGAAGAGGGGGATCGGAAGGAAGGGGAGGGGGGACGGGAGGAAAGGGGGGAAGATGGGGGAGGGGAAAGATGGGGAGGGGGAGGGGAAAGAGGAGGGGAGGGGAGGAAAGGGGGGAAGATGGAAGAGGGAAGGGGGAGAATGGGGGAGGGGACAAGGGAGGAAGGGGGAGGAGGGGAGAAGAGGGGAGGAGGAGGGGGGAGGAGAGTGATATTGGAGGCAATAAAATTTATATGAGTCTCCTTTCCAACTTCCATCTTTCATGTGCCCAAGCCTCATCTCTTGTCCCTGGATGGTTGTTAAAAATCTAAGTATAGTAACTATGCCCAACAGCCTACTGCAGCATCCACTCATAAATTTACCATTTGAGTTTTGAGTTCCCTTTTCTATTTTGGCCCCTAGGATTTACCTTACTTTCTCATGAGCTCTGCAACATGCTTGAGGATATTTGTTCAAATCTGTCCAAAGTTTCTAAATGTTTTCTCCCGGGAGGATGTTCAGGTCATCTTGCTATTTTGCTAGAAGTCTCCAAGGATATCTTTTTTTTTTTTAGAGGAGTCTCACTCCATCGCCCAGGCTGGTGTGCAGTGGTGCAATCTTGGCTCACTGCAACCTCCGCCTCTCAGGTTCAAGAGATTTTTCCACTTCAGCCTCATGAGTAGCTGGGATTACGCGCATGTGCCACCACACCTGCTAATTTTTGTATTTTTAGTAAAGACAGGGTTTCACCATGTTGGCCAGGCTGGCCTCAAACTCCTGACCTTAAGTGATCCACCAGCCTCAGCCTTCCAAAGTGCTGGGATTACAGGCATGAATCACTGCACCCAGCCAGGATATCTTATTAACATCAAAAAATTTCAAAGACCGCATACACACTCACACTGTATCATCATCATCATCACTACCACCACCATCATCATCTTTACGATCTTCATCCTCCTCATCACAGTCAACATGGAACTGAAACATGTTCCAGGTATAAGGCTAAATGCTTTAGTAATAATCTTTTAGTTGCCATAGCCATGTATAAGGTAGATATCAATCAGTTATAATTTTATAACCCATTTGTTGAAGAAATAAATGCTCTGTGTTCAGTAAAAATTTAAAATAAGTTTTCTTTCATTTATTCACAATAGTGGCTCATACATTTTTTAAATAGTAGCATGTATATATTCAAGTTATATAATTTATCCCACCTACAGACTCTACTGGGTGAACATATAAATTGTGGATTCTCCTTACAATAAACTGTCATTTTTTCCCTCAACTCCATTCCACTCTCAGTGGGTCTAAAAACCTTAAGTTGAGATTCAGTGCTTTACATAAGACATAAGAGAAAAACAGCAGCTATCCTGTGTCAGGTACTAGTTTCCACATTACAAATATCTCATTTAAACTATGTAACAACTCAGTGGAATAGGTACTATTATAATTTGACAGATGAGGAAACAAATACTCAAACAGATAAAGTAATTCATTCAGCATCAAACAAATAGTCAATATCAGAGTCTGAACTCAACTACAGGTTTCCACACCAAATGCTGTGCTCTTTGACCATGCCAAAGAAACTATGTCTCCCATATGCCCCAGTACAGCTGAGCAGATTGTGTATTGCATAACTTTAGTGGGTAAAACTCACACTGTTGTCATCACAGACTTCTCTACTCCCAGCAGATGGCAATAAATTATCTTGAAGAGAGGGTACATTTTTCTTATTTAAATAATAATAATAATAGCAATAGTTCTTAAATAGTCTCTTATTTCTTTGTTATGGGAAAATCTCCACCTTCAAAGAAACCAATTTCACATAGTGGTTTTAACAGCCAGAAAATTTTCCTCCCAAGGCAAAATCTAGCGCTTTGTACCTACGAGCAGAATTTCTATACCTGCCCTACTCTGCCTCAGAGAATAAGTGCTAGCCCATAAGTCGGTGATTCTCAAACTCTAATGTCCTTAAAAATCTACTGGAGGAACTGTTCAGAATCTCACACCTGAAATTATGACTGCATATGTCTGGAGTGAGAAACAAGAAGCTGCATATTTAGCAAACACTGTAAGTGATCCCTGGAAAAAAAAATTGCCAGACAGCTATTATGCCGCCTCAACCTCTTATGCATGTCAGTCTGTTCTCAATTTAAGATTTCTCAAATCTAAGAAGACACAATACAGCCTTCAGTACTCAGTTGCATCCCCTGAAACTTATTATTAGGAGAGGAACATGCATTTGAGAAATTCAGAATAACCCCACAGTCCTCCTGGACATTCATGATGGTATTTGATTGGTACCATTTCTTAGGACTTTATCTATTATACCAAGTATGGAAGAGAATAGATACAAATAACACTTTCAAAATTAGCACTTATTCTTATATTTCAGAGGTCTCCCAAATATAAATGTGAGAAGGGGTTGGCATGTTATTAAAAGCCAAGCAAAGTCATTTATATCTATGTATTACACAAATATCTTTTATATAAGTATCTTGAAGACATTATTTAGGATAGGAGTTACTCCTTAATAGGGGAAAGGCAAAGGTGATCAAGAGAGGTTAGCAGAGGAGGTGAGTTTTATCTATAGCAGTAATATTTTGTTTCTTAAGCTAGCATATGAGGGAACTGTAAATTATAATGGGGCTTCATTACAGTAGAAAAATGTCCCTATAGTTCTCAATATATAAAACATACAATCCTTAAATTTTAAATATTCAAAATTATTTCTACAATTAACCATTATACATTTATAATTTGATATTATTTGAAAATAAAAATTCATGTTTCAACTAAATTTTCTAAATATGTAGTAATACCTTTAATATTGGAAGAATTTCTGTGATCCCTTTTGGAGCTCCAGGGAATTCATCAGTCCCTTTTCTTAAAGGTACATCTGGAAAAGAAAGGAGGAAGGGAATGAAGGATGGAGGGGAAGGAAAAGAAGAAGATTTGAAAAAAAGGAAAAGTAGGAAGAGGAAGAGCACAGAGCAAGGGCAAGGAAGAAACAAAGGAAAAGAAAGAAGGTCCAGAGGAATAAAAAGGAAGAAAGAGAAAAATGGAAATACAGCAGTGAATCATAATCATAAAACTTTATGTTGAATTACCTTTTAATTAACCATGATCTTAGAAATGATTCAACACTAGAATTTGACTAAACACCAAATTGTTTATTCCATGTAATTAAATTTTTTATTCTATAAGGTAATTTAAAAGCATCTTCTGCTTGAACCCAGGAGGCGGAGGTTGCAGTGAGCCAAGGTCGCGCCACTGCATTCTAGCCTCACGCCTGGTGACGTAGTGAGACTCTGTCTCAAAAAAAAAAAAGTATCTTCTAATGTAAGAAACCAAATCAAATATTACAAGTCAATATCATCTTTCTCTATATTCTATAAGGTCCAATTAAAATCTTTCAGAGGCCAGGCACAGTGGCTCATGCCTGTTATCCCAGCACTTTAGGAGGCCAAGGTGAGTAAATCACCTGAAGTCAGGAGTTCAAGTTCACCATGTTCCATCCGACCAACATGGTGAAACCCTGCCTCTACTAAAAATACAAAAATTAGCCTGGCGTGGTGGCACGTGCCTGTAATCCCAGCTACTGGGGGGCACTGAGGCATGAGAATTGCTTGAACCCAGGAGGCGGAGGTTGCAGTGAGCCGAAATCTCACCACTGCACCCCAGCCTGGGTGACAGAGCGAGACTCCCTCTCAAAAAATAAATAAATAAGCTTTCAGAAAATAACAGCATAGAACCCTTATCAATTTAGACAAATATCAGAGAAGACTTGTACTTTATGTTTTATGTGGCAATAAGGTGCTAAGAATAACATTCTTAGAAGTTATAAGAATTTATATATCTAAATGGGACAACCCCTTATTATATAAACATAGCAGTTTTCAAATTTATAAATGGATTATGCTCCAGTATTGATTAGTTCTTCAGAAGTGAAACATTTTAACAAAGCATCAATAACTTAAATTTTATGTAGCCCAATTATAATGGTATAAAACAATAATCTCCCCCACAATAACGAGTAAATAAAATAACTTTAAGTAAGAAATAGACTTTATTTTATTTTATTTTTTTGAGACAGAGTCTCACTCTGTTGCCCAGGCTAGAGTGTAGTGGTGCTACCTCAGTTCACTGTAACCTCCGCCTCCAAAGTTCAGGTGATTCTCCTGCCTCAGCCTCCCAATCAGCTAGAATTACAGGCATATGCCACCATGCTTGGCTAATTTTTATATTTTTAGTAGAGATGGGGTTTCACCATGTTACCCAGGCTGGTCTTGAACTCCTGACCTCAAGTGATCTGCCTGGCTCACCCTCCCAAAGTGCTGGGATTACAGGCGTGAGCCACTCTGCCTGGCCAGAAATAAACATTTTTAAAAAGTAATCAGTAATGGATAATGTAGAAAAATTATCTGGGCTAAGGAAAACCTGAAATATATATATATACACACACACATACATACGCATATATATATACTTAATCTACAAGCTAAGAAGATGGTGAAAAATAAATAAATACAGGGCCAGGATCTTGGGAAGGGAGTGTGAAAAAAACACAAACTATTTTTTCCCCTGCTCTCATGCCACAATAATCAACACAGATTTCTGTGACCATATGTGGAGTTGGGGGTCCCCACATACCAAATATGGAATCAGTTCTGTAGTGGACACCACTTGGGTGTTCTCCAACCCTGTTTACTTCCAACACTATCTTGCAGATAGAGTCAGATCACACAGATTAAGAACTCAGACCCATAAGACCCCGCTCTCTGCTTCCAATGCTGACATAAGCCCCAGCTTGTTTTACCTGTGCTTCTGACCAATAGGCGACAAACTAGTTCTCATGATCCTCTCCCTGCGTCTGATTAATTGCAAGAGTGGCTCACAGAACTCAGGGAAACAGTTATGTTTACCATTTTATCATAAAGGTCATTACAAAGGATACAGACAAAGAGATACATAGCACAAGGTATTAAAGGAAGGGGCATGGAGCTTCCATGCCCTCCCAGGACCACCACCCTCCAGGAACAGTCAAGTGCTCAGCTATCCAGAAGTTCTCTGCACCCTATCCTCATGGACCTTTTATGGAGACTTCTTCAAATATGCATAACTGATGGATGTACAGCTGTATAGAAAGGCAACTGGACAAAAAGGGTATGATCTAGTACCATTTAGAAACCCATTGCTATGATTTGAATATCTGTCGCCTCCAAACTCATGTTGAAATTTAATCCCCAATGTGGCAGTATTGAGAGATAGATCCCATAAGATATGACTGGGTCATGAAGGTTCTGCTCACATAAATAGGTTAACTCATTCATAGACTAATGGATTAATAGGTTAGTGGAATGATGAGTTATCATGGGAGTGGGACTGGTGACTTTATAAAAAGAGGAAGAGGCCAGGCACAGTGGCTCACGCCTGTAATTCCAGCACTTTGGGAGGCTGAGGCGGGCAGATCACCTGAGGTCAGGAGTTCAACACCAGCCTGGCCAACATGGTGAAACTCCATCTCTACTAAAAATACAAAAAATTAGCTGGGCATGGTGGCTCATGCCTGTAATCCCAGCTACTCAGGAGGCTGAGGTGAGAGAATAGCTTGAACCCAGGAGGCAGAGGCTGCAGTGAGCCAAGATTGAGCTACTGCACTTCAGCCTGGGCAACAGAGTGAGACTCCGTCTAAAAAAAAGAAAAAGATGAGGAAGAGAGACCTAAGCTAGCATGTTCAGCCCCCTATCATTGATGCTCTGCACCACCTCAGGACATTGCAGAAAGTCTCCATGAGCAAGAAGGCCCTCACCAGATGCAGCCCCTAGACTTGTACTTCTCAGCCTCCAAAATTGTAAGAAATAAAGTCCTTTTCTTTATAAATTACCCAGTGTGGGTATTCTGTTATAAGTAACAGAAAATGGACTCAGATACCCAGCAAGGCCTGTGTGTTCAGATTCTTCTTGGCCTATCTGTGCCACACTCCTTCCTCCTGGGTATGGGGCAGGACCCCTCTGAAATGAGTCTTATGTCCTACAATTAGACAAGGTAGGTCAGAGAATTTCTTTATGATCGGCTCCAAGTCAGAGAGACAGTACATTTTCAGTTTCTATGGCCATCCTTGGAGAGAAAAAACAGCAGATGAAAGAAGGAAAGTAGAAGGTCAGAGGGAGAGAAAGAGATTCTGTTTCCTGAGGCCTGCTTCTGAGGCCTGAAGTACCCCAACATTACAACAAAAGACTCTCTTTCACTTTTATTGCTCCAAAGCTGTTCTGAAACTACTTCAGGAACCAAGGACAAAAAGCCAAATTTGTTAACAAGAGGTATGCTTATTGTTTTAGTCACTTAGGAAATAACAAGAACTATGGGAGTCATAAGCCAGGAACTGTACACAAAAGTAATTATATATGTTATATATGTATGTTTGATATATGTATATTTATATATATAAAACATACAAAATATATGTGTTCATTGATGGTTTTATTATTGAGAAGGTTTCCAGTCAACAGTAGGCTATTTGAGTAAGGTTTAGAGGAGCCAAAACATGCATTTAGGGTCAGTGCCCCTAAGCCTCATGTCGTTCAAGGGTCAAGTGAATATATATCATATATCATAGTATAACAGAGTCACACCTGAATCTTGGAAAGGGAGGCCATTAGAGCTACTTTTTCCACTGGGGTTTATGTCAATTCTGGAGAAAGAAACTGAGAAACTGAGTGATACTTCTGATAGCCTTGAAAGAAAAGCAACAGGGATTGGTATCCAGGGCCCACCAAGGATGAGAAGCAAAAGAGACTGCATCCTAGAAGTTAGAATAAACTGAAAATAGATATTCAAAGAGAAAGCATTTCAGATTCAAAATACTGTAATCCCTCAAATTGGAATAATGGGATCCTAGAGTACTAGTGCCTTCATGTATCTAGTAAAAACAAGCATAAATCTTCCCTAGAAAAAGAAAACATCATCCAAAGCCTAAATTATTTCTATAAAATATTTAGCAATAATAATGTCCATTACACACTCAAAAATAACCAGACTAGCCAAATAGTTGATGATGTAAATTCTTCATTGAAGACATCAGTATAATAAATGCAAAAGGAATGAGAGAAGTTAGGAGTCCCTCCTGGCTTTTACCCCCAGTCTCCTATCAGCCCTCCACCAATGACAGATAAAAGCTGTAGAAGTACCCCGATCTCCCAACTCTCTCAAACATGTTCTTATGGTCTCCCAGAGGTCCCTCATGGGAGTAGGCCCTGAACCCACAACAGCAGCCTTCTCATTAACTTACTGAGCCTTACATGGAGCTTCCTTTCCTCCCCTGTCTCACTTCTCCACTTTTCCACTGTGCTTCCCTGTATAAGGTCCCAAATAAACTACTTCACTCAAATCATTGTCTCAGAATCTGCTTCTGGGGAATCAGCCCAGGAAAAAACCCAAGCTGAGAACACCTGAACTCACCTATAAATCTTTAGAGCACAAAAAGTGAGACAACTAGGTATTGTGTGCTTCCTGATTCAATGCAAGAGAGTAAATAGCACTACCTATGAAGTATTGTTGCCAAAAAATAAGACAATTGGCAAGAACTCTTGTTAACAAAGTATCACCAGAATCTAAGTAAGCATCCAGATCTAACTACCAGGTAAGAAGCAAGTTAACCAACATCACATGGAGGGAAATAGTCAAATTCAGAATATGAAAAATCCCACAGGATAGTGACTCAGCTTCTTCAAAAGATAAATATCTTAAAAGGGGACTATGAAGGAAAGAAACCATTAGAGAGTAGTGACATTTAAGAAACGTGTCAAGAAAATGCAATGTGTGGGCCTTGTTTGGATTCTGATTGGAACAAACCAACTTTAAAAGATATTTTTAATATAATCAGGGACATAGGACTTACTCCCCATTATGTAAGGTATAATAATAACGGCACTGTAGTTTTATGTTAAAAAAGAAAAATCCTTATCTGTTAGACAGAAAGTTGGAGCTGGGCACGCCTGTAATCCCAGCACTTTGGGAGGCCAAGGTGGGTGGATCACGAGGTCAAGAGATCGAGACCATCCTGGCCAATATAGCGAAACCCCATCTCCACTAAAATACAAAAATTAGCTGGGCATGGTGGTGTGTCCCAGCTACTCGGGAGGCTGAGGCAGAAGAACTGCTTGAACCTGGGAAGCGGAGATTGCAGTGAGCCAAAATCGCACCACTGCACTCCAGCTTGGTGCCTGGCAACAGAGTGAGATTCTGTCTCAAATGAAAAAAAGTTGGATACACACACACATATACATGGTGTGGTGGTATTTGCTGGAAAAATGACACATCTGCTTTAAAATACTCAGAGAGCGGGAAATGTTGCAGGGAGAGAAGAAATAAGATTGAAAAGATGTGGATAATTATGGATGCTGGATGATGCACACATGGTGATTTTTTTTCTCTATATATTAAAGCTCTTCATAATAAAAGTTTTAAAAAGGAAAAGAAAAGCATTTTAAGCCAGGACATGTCAGAAATATGACCTGAGGTCACTGAATGTGTTAGATGGCCAGAGACTTTTAACTGATGGCTGTCAAACTTTAATATATATCAAATTCACCTGGGAAGTTATTTAAGACTAAAAAGGTCCAGGCTAGCTAAAGTAGAACAGAGCCTGGGCCTTGCATTTTTAACAAGCCTTCAGGAAATACTGATAACAATCAAAATTTGAGAACTGTGGCTCTAAAACTCCATCTGCAAAGCCACACGAGGACAGGCAGAGCCAGATTAGTGAATCTTCTGGTAAACATTCACCTTATTACAAAGTCCTCCAAATGTCATACATGTTCTATAAGAGGGGTGAAACAGCAAAGTAAACACCGGCCATAGACTCCTCCACATTATTCCCCACCCCATGAAATATAGTATAGTACAGGGCTGCAACCAGAGACAGAACAAAGAACAAGGTCACAGCCGAAGGCCATCCTTTGAGACAAGACATCTCCTGAATGGAGAAGAGAATAATGAAGAAAAGAAAGGGGTTGAGACAGGAAGAATGGGGAGTTGGGGGCTAGGAAATGAGAGCAAAAAGAGGAAGATGATAAAGATAAGAAGAAACAGAGAAAGTAGAGGCGAAATAGAATAAATGAAGCAAGAATTGTAAGAGGAAGGAATTAGCAGAAAGAAGATAAAAAAGGAGATAGAAAGTAGAATGACACTGATCCATTCAAAAGATACTTATCTGATCTACTCTGTGTCGGACGATGTGGTGGGTGCCAAGAAGATCGCAGTGACCAAAACATAGTCTTCCTTCAAGCATTCACTCTTATGGGAAATGGAAGGGGAGAAAAACAAAAGAAGATAAAAGAGGGGAGAGGTGGCCCGGCGTGGTGGCTCACACCTGTAATCCCAGCCCTTTGGGAGGCTGAGACAGGCAGATCACTTGAGGTCAGGAATTTGAGACCAATATGGCCAACATGGTGAAACCCCATCTCTAGTAAAAATATAAAAGGCATGGTGGCGGGCATCTGTAATCCCAGCTACTCGGGAGGCTGAGGCAGGAGAATCACTTGAACCCGGGAGGTGGAGGCTGCAGTGAGCCAAGATTGCGCCACTGCACTCCAGCCTGGACAACAGAAAGAAACTCTGTCTCAAAAAAAAAAGAGGAGAGAAAGGGGAAAAAGAAAGGAAGAAAGGGGAGTAGGTGGTAATTAGGAACAAAGAAAACGAATATGAAAAGACGAAAAGGGTTTTATCCTTCATTGAATAATAGACCACGAAACCTTCTTTTCTTAACATCTTTTTGATGAAACTACATTATTATAATTATATTAATCTATCTTTACTTATAAATCCTCGATGAAGCATAATATTGAAGTGCCTAGTTTCCATTAGTAGAAATTACCCTGTATTTGAAATTATACCTATATATTTATACTTATATATGTATATGCTTTTTCAGCCAACATTTTACCTAGAGATTTTTTAAATTTTCTTCCTGGACTTCCTAAAGATTCCAATATTTCACTTAACCGTAATGTGACTTCTGCCACTACCACAATGTCAATGTCTTCCATTTTAGAGCAGTGAATTACTTCATTTAACTGCCACAGAAGATAAAACCACTAAAATGAGAAAATACAGAGCAAAATCAATTATAGAAAGAGTAACGTTTTTCAAAATGTTTACTTCCTTGAAATAACCATCTTCTAATCACATAGAAATGTTACACAGGTACCCCTCCTTATTAATGTCTTAATTATAAATAATATAAAACTCAGTAATCCTTTTAAAATGTTAATCAATCTGTTTCTATAAATTCATAAGGTAGATTCATTTAAGTAGAATAACAGATTAACATCTATAGCCATTGTGGCAAATTTATGATCAGTTATTTGTACATATCACTGAAAAGTATCTGTATCCTCCAAGTTCTCACTGTCCCTTCAAAGCAGCTACAATGATTACTATCAATGTCCTCCTTATGAGGGAGGGGGAAGCAGGTGTTTCAGGCTCCACATTAGATGCCTTAAATTGTCTTTCATGGCCAGGCATGATGGCTCACGCCTATAATCCCAGCACTTTGAAAGGCCAAGGCAGGTGGATCCCTTGCGGTCAGGAGTTCGAGACTAGCCTGGCCAACATAGTGAAACCCCCATCTCTATTAAAAATACAAAAAAAATAGTTGGCATGGTGGTGCACACCTGTAATCCCAGCTACTCTGAAGGCTGAGGCAGGGGAATCGCTTCAACCCGGGAGGCAGAGATTGCAGTGAGCCAGGATTCCACCTCTGCACTCCAGCCTGGGTGAAAAAGCAAGTCTCCATCTCAAAAACAAAAGAAAAAAGGAAGGAAAGGAGGGAGGGAGGGAGGAAGGGCCAAGATCATGCCACCATACCCAGGCAGAGCAAGACCCTGCCAAAAAATAAATAAACAGAAAACCCTGAAACACCTCTTCACTCTTCACAACAAACAAAATGCACACATTAAAAGAAAGGGTCACTCAGCACTAGAAAGAATATCATATATCATATATATATATGCAATGAAAGTCATTAAGCAGGTGAAAAATAGGAAAATTTAGATTTTAAATGTGTATGGCAACTTGAATTAGCAATAGCAAAGAACATGTGAAAGGAAATGGAAAAGGAATACTTTGTTAGTACTGATTTTCTGGGTGAATTTTGCATAGTCATTTCTGGATATATTAAGCCGCTGAATTCCTAATTTGCATTTCTGCCATAGGAACATTATTGTGTCCACAACAATTTCCTTATCAGGCTGAACATCCTAGAAACAAAAGTGAGAAGGTAAATGAGAATAAAATACAAGTATATAACATTCACGTGTGCTGAGCAACACTCTAAGAGCTTTACAAAGACTAACACATTGAATCTTCATAATGACCCTATGAGAGGACTCCTAGTATGACCCTCCCCATTTTACAGATGAGCAAACTGAAACACAAGTAAATTAAGTGATTTTCCCCAACATGAAATTACTAAAGAGTGGCAGATGGGAGACACTCAAACCTAAGTAGTCTAGCTCACTCTTTTTTCCTTGAAACAGGGCCTCACTAGTTGGAGTGCAGTGGCACAATCTCAGCTCATGATCTTGGCTCACTGTAACCTCTGCATCCCAGCAGGTTCAAGCGATTCTCATGCCTTAGCTTCCCAAGTAGCTAGGACTACAGGCGCACCACCATGCCCAGCTCATTTTTGTATTTTTAGTAGAGACAGGGTTTCACCATGTTGGCCAGACTGGTCTTGAACTCCTGGCCTCAAGTGATCCACCGAACTCAACCTCCCAAAGTGCTGGGATCGCAGAGTGAGCCACCATGTAAAGCCTAGATACCTTGTTCTTAGTGAATGTTCTATGCTCTTCCGCCTCTAAAAAAAGAGTCCCAAATATTTTTAGGAAGATTGCAAACCAATTACTCCAATTTGACTGTAAAATTTACATATACTTTTCTCTTTTTAAAATTATTGCCTTAAAATAATAAGGAATTGGACAGATATGGTGCCTCAAGCCTGTAATCCCAGCACTTTGAGAGGCTGAGGCGGGTGGATCACAAGGTCAAGAGATTGAGACCATCCTGGTCAAAATGGTGAAACCCCATCTCTACTAAAAATACAAAAACTTAGCTGGGCATGATGGCGTGTGCCTGTAATCCCAGCTACTAGGGAGGCTGAGGCAGGAGAATTGCTTGAACCCAGGAGGCGGAAGTTGCAGTGAGCCGAGGTTGCACCATTGCATTCCAGCCTGGGTAACAATAGCAAAACTCCAACTCAAAAAAAAAAAAAAAAAAAAAAAATTAGCCAGGCATAGTGGCTCCTGGTGGTGGTAACTGGGGTGGTCCCAACTACTTGGGAGGCTGAGGCACAAGAATCCCTTGAACCTGGGAAGCAGAGGTTGTGGTGAGCTTGAAATTGCACCACTGTACTCCAATCTTGGCAACAGAGCAAGACTCTGTCTCAATAATAATAATACTAACAAGGAATTGGAGTAGGGGAGATGAACTAGTAACTAGAGAGGCAATGAGGAATTGGGAAAGGGTAGAGACAAGAAGGAAAGGGGAAAAACTGAACAGAACCTCACACTGGGTATCATTTGATGAGCCAGAATAAGTATGTCTTCTCTTATCCAAGCTACTTGCCTCTTTGCAAAAGAAAATTGCTACTTATTATAGCTAAACTAGAAAAATAATGAGTTTATGATTAAAATATACCAAACCTGGAGCTCTTCGAGGCTGCTCTAAGACCTAATTTGCATATGTGGCACCTTCCTACAATGTTTGGGAATACAACAGAGATCAATAAATGTTTATTGAATTAAATTGATCAAAGACATACATTATTTTAGAAAAACAGATAAATGAGGGCCAGGCACAGTGGCTCACACACCTGTAATCCCAGCACTTTGGGAGGCTGAGGTGGGTGGATCACCCGAGGTCAGGATTTTGAGACCAGCCTGTCCAACATGATGAAATCCTGTCTCTACTAAAAAATACAAAAACTAGCCAGGTATGATGGCACACACCTGTAATTCCAGCTACTCGGAAGGCTGGGGCAGAAAAATTGCTTAAAACTGGGCGTCAGAGGTTGCGGTGAGCTGAGATCCCACCACTGCACTCCAGTGTGGGTGGCAGAATGAGACTCTGTCTCAAAAAAAGAAAAAATCAGATAAAAGAAAGTTCCCGATCTTTGTAAGCCTTGATTGCTATATTTTGGTTTAGCTCTCCCACTATAATAATTTATTTACTGCCAAACACCTTTATTTCAAAAATTAAATACCTGTCACAGGTCATAACTTATTCTGACAAACCAGAGGAAATCAAAAATCGTATAAAGCAGCACTTCTCAAGTCCCTTACTGTGTTTCACTTACCTGGGCAAAAGTTAATATAGCGCTCTCTAATTGTGGTTTATATGCTTTTCAAAAATAACAACGTAACCAAATTTTCAAATGAAATTCCATCAGAAACCCAATGTTACACACAAAACTAACAAAAACAGATTAGGGAGCTACTACTCAAAGCTGGGCTTCTCCATTATCCTCAGCAAACTAAAGCAGGAAGAGAACCAAACACCGCATGTTCTCACTTAGAAGTAGAAGTGCAGCAAACCACCATGGCACACGTTTCTCTATGTAACAAACCTATGGGTCCTGCACTTGTACCCTGGGACTTAAAATTAAAATTAAAAACAAAATAATTTTTTTAAAAACAGGCCAGGCACAGTGGCTCACACCTGTAATCCCAGCACTTTGGGAGGCTGAGGTGGGCGGACCACAAGGTCAGGAGTCCAAGACCAGCCTGATCAACATGGTGAAACCTCATCTCTACTAAAAATACAAAAATTAGCTGGGCATGGTGGCAGCCACCTGTAATCCCAGCTACTCAGGAGGCTGAGGCAGGAGAATCACTTGAACCCAGGAGGCAGAGATTGCAGTGAGCCAAGATCACGCCACTGTACTCCAGCCTGGGCAACAGAGCAAGAAAAGAAAAAAGAAGTCAAAGTTGGGCTTCTGAGGATCCTTGGAATTTGTTTAATAACCATTGCTATACTATAATAGTTCCACCCTCATATAGGCCATTTCTAAATACTGGCCATTGTGTGCAAACTAACTTCCAATAATAACAAGACTTTGTACTCATGGACTGAGAGCAGTATGTCGTTAAACATATTAACTCTTTTTGAGAACCACTGCCTCATTTCCTTCATTATTAGAAATATAGCCTGAGAATTTCCCAAAAAAAACACTCAAAATGACAACAATAATTTTTTTAAAATTACAAGTCAGAATCTAACTTAATCCTATATTCTAATGATTAAACAAAATAAAATTTTAGCAAGGGATCTTTTTAAAATTTTAAAATTCCTGGGATCTTTTAAATCTGGCCTTAAATTAGGCACAAAAACCTCTTTTCACACTAATAAAAATTATTTAAAGTGGCTATTTCACCTGAGGACCGGTGCAGACACAGAAATACAAGGTTGCTGCCAAATGGAAAATATCCTCTGAATATCCACAAATCTTCAAATAAGTATCTAAATTCATAAAGCAGAGGAAACAAAGAAATCACAAAATTTCAAATAGAAAATGCACAGAAACACAAATATGCCACAAAAATGAGATAAATTATAGGTGGGCAAATATCATGTCAATAAGACAGATTAAATACTTCTATAAAACTAATCTTGGCCAGACACAGTGGCTCATGCCTGTAATCCCAGCACTTTGGGAGGCCGAGGTGGGCAGATCACTTGAGATTAGGAGTTGGAGATGAGCCTAGCCAACATGGTGAAACCCCATCTCTACTAAAAATACAAAAAAAACTAGTTGGGCACGATGGCAGGCTACTGTAATCCCATCTACTCGGGAGGCTGCGGCAGGAGAATCACTTGAACCCAAGAGGCAGAGGTTGTGGTGAGCCAAGATCGTGCTACTGCACTCCAGCCTGGGCAAAGAACAAGACTGTATCTCCAAAGAAAAAAAAGAAAACTAATCTTAATGGCTCTAATCCAACTAAAATAGACTATTATTACCGTAGATCCAATATTTGTATGCTATGTCCAAAAAGAAACTGAGGCTTATAATATTAAAATGCATGTAAAATATGGTAGTTGAATGAAAAATAATAAAAATATTGATTCAGAAATCACTAGAAGACATATATATCATTACATGGTACAAATTACTTACTGCAACTGATAAGCCATGCAATGCCTTAAGAACATGGCAAAACATTAAAAACCTGGAATTAAATAGTTCCCATTGATGAAAAAGTAGACACTGCAGATTTTCAATTACACACAGTAACTTTTAGAATTTGAAAAGTCCTGGAATGGCAAACACTGCATGCTGGGAAGACAGAGGAGATTACCAAAGCTTCCCTTCCTAACATGAACTGATGACTCTGTCCTCTGATTCACTGCCTTACTGGCCTCCCTCGTATCCCACTAAGCCAGCAGGTAGGTAGAACCTCATTCGCCTACTCAAAACTGTCCCTCAGAAAATAATCTAGCATCCTTACAAAGCCCAGGAACCACATCACCTAGCGCTCAGCTACTTCTTTAACCTTGTCACCTCCCACGCTCAGTCACACATGCCCCCATGCCATTCCTACAACCACCAAGCACACTCCTGTCTCAGGGCCTTGTACCTCTTGCTCCCTCTGCCTTCAACGTTCTTTCTCTCACCTCATCTATAAAGAGCATATTTCATCAAACTATCTTAATTTTTTGAACAGACAAATACTCACCATGAACAGCAATTTTTTTTAAATAAATTTGAGCCGCCTCTCCTTCTCTATAGTTTTCCAAAGGAAAGATCAAACCTTTGTTTCTCTTTATGTTGATTAGTGGTTCCATTGCAATCAGAAGAGTTAAATCCTTCTCTGCTTTCTTTGACTCTGGATCATCCTGCCTCTTGGAGAAGTATATCCCACACATTAATACGTAATTCAATGTCATTCAAACAAAACAAAACCAGGAGGATGATTTTGCATCTAGTACCTGGAGAAAATAAATAAGATGTGCAGCAGAAGATTCAAATAAACTCCACTCCTCATAAGTAAAAGCTAATTTTATAAACTTCACAGCAGCATCCACAGAAATAACATCTTTTCTTTCTATCACAAGTTCCAGAAGAGATGTTTTTGGAAAATCAAGCATTCCATCTGCACCAGTATTTGACACTAGAAAAGGAAGAAGAGAGTTTTGAATATCATTCGTTCAAAAAAATATTTATTAAATATGCACTATAGACACTTTCAGGAAACAGGAAAACACAATCCCTGCTTTTATAGGGTTTATGCTCTAGTGGAGTAAACAAGAAAGGCCGAGGCAGGGGATAATTTGAGCTCAGGAGTTTGAGTCTAGCACATAGCAAGACCCCGCAAAGAAAAAGAAAAAGAGGGAAACGAAAGGGAAAGGGAAAGGGAAAAAGGGAAAAAGAGAAAGGGAAAGGGGAAAGGAAAAAGGGAATGGGAGGGAGGGAGGGAGGAAGGAAAGAGGGAGAAAGGAGGAAGGAAAGAGGGAGAAAGGAGGAAGGGGGAAGGGGAAGGGGAAAAGTAACTGAAAGTGACACCTGGATTGAGCAATAAGGTGGTCCATGACATTCTCAGTAGAGTGCTAGGGACTGCCTGATGTATATGTAGAAAGAAAATACTTATGAACAGTGAAAACAGACAATTCCTTCAATAAATCTGACTGTACCAAAAAGAAGACCTATAGGGAGGAAGATGAAAGAGAACATGGAGGCCTAGTCACAGTGGCTTACATCTGTAATCCCAGCACTTTGGGAGGCCAAGGCAGGTGAATCCCTTGAGCCCAAGAGTTTGAGACCAGCCTGGGCAACATGGAGAAACCCCGACTCTACAAAAAAATACAAAAATTAGCCACGTGTGGTGGTACATGCCTATAGTCAGAGCTACTCAGGAGGCTGAGGTGGGAGGATCACTAGAGCTCAGGAGGTCCAGGCTGCAGTGAGCCATGATCACACCACTGCACTCCAGCCTGGGTCTGTCGAACAAGACCCTGTCTCAAAAATATATAGATAAAGGACACAATATAAAGGGACCACTTGGACACTTGGAAGAATTAGACTTAAAGACACAAAGAGAAACTTCCCCTCCATTTAAATGAGAAATGGTGGGAAAAGACAGATATGCATGAGGGTAAATTTAGGGGTTTGGGTGAAGGAAGTCAAGGAAATTCTTATCTAAAAGCTTGTATTTTTCTTGGCAAGAGAAGAGCCCAAACTGTGGCACCAGCGGTTCCCTGCATTGAGATGAGCATTCACACTCACAGGCACCCACATGTGCACACGCACACTAAACTCATCTAGAGGCAGAGGAGCTAACTCTAGGCTTTCCTCCCTCCTCCCCAGTGGACACTGTAGCCAAGTCAGCTGATTGTTCCAAGAAGAAAAACTCACAGGAAAAGATAATTAAAAGCAAAAACACCTTGAAAGAAAAAACACAAATGAAGCATCTTTTGCCACAAGAAGCAGGAAAACAGAGCAGCATGAACAAGAACGTAAGTGAAAGTGTTCTCTCAGAAATAAAAGAGGATATTAGAAACATGAGGCAAGAACAACTGCTGTGAAAAAGAACCAAGTGGATTCAAAGTATTAAGTATAGCATTGTTGACACCTGGGTATAATAGCTCACACCTGTAATCCCAGCACTTTGGGAGGCTGAGACAGGCAGGTCACCTGAGGTCAGGAGTTAGAGACCAGCCTGGACAACATGGTGGAACCCCATCTCTACTAAAAATACAAAATATTAGCCTGGAGTGATGGTGCACACCTGTAATCCCAGCTACTCAGGAGGGTCAGGCAGGAGAATCACTTCAACCCAGGAGGTGGAGGCTACAGTGAGACAAGATCATGCCACTACACTCCAGCCTGGGCAACACAGCGAAACTCTGTCTCAAACAAACAAAAAAAAAGTATATCATTGTTGAAATAAATAATTAAATAGATGAACAGAAGAGCAGAACAGAGAGACTCAAAGATCAAATTCGTGACCTGAAAAATCAGAGAGAGGAAGCTTCCAGAAGGCAACAGAAAGGAATAAAGACATGAAAATAATAAAATAAGTAAGACATGGAGGATGAACATCTATCCTGTCAACATCTGTCTAATGGCATCTTCAATGCCTTGAAGGATTTTTTTAAAAATAATGAATATAAGGAAAGAAATGTAAAAGTAACATGAGAAAAATCAAAGAAAGATATAAGGCCTCAAAGTATCTGCTGGATTACTAAACCCACCCCTAGATCCAGTATAATAAAATGTAAGAATGTCATAAGAAAGAGAAAATTGTAAAAGATACATCTACAAAACAAGATTTAAACTGACATTAGACTTCTCAACAGAAACACTGTTTATACAAGACTATGAAGAAATAGCATCAAAATCTTAAAGAAACTTGTAAATAAACTATTATATCCATCCAAACTACTTCAAAATTATTAGTTTGCATTTGAGCCAAAAGAAATGAATTTAGAAAGAATGAAAAATGGGAAGTAATGATGAGGAGGAAAAAAATCTTAATAAAGGTATTTTCTGTCTTATAAAGCGATGACCAGGACTTGTATTCAGAACATAACAAGAGCTCTCAAAGCTCAAGAGAAATAATTAACAATCCAATTAGAAAATGAACAAAAGACACGAGAAAAAGAGAGTATACAGATAGCAAATAAACACATGAAAAACTATTTAACATCTTCAGCCATTAGGGAAATGCAAATTAAAGTCACAGTGGGATGTTACTATATACCTATCAGAATGGCTAAAATAAGAGAGCAATGATACACCAAATTCTGTCAGGGATGTTCAAAAACTGGATCATTCATACATGGCTGGTGAAAAGATAGTACAGTCACCCTGGAGAATAGTATGACAGTTTCTCACAAAACTAAATACAAACTTATCATATATCCAATCCAGCAATTGCACTATTGAGCGTTTTATTCCAGAGAAATGAAAAGAGTGTTTCTGTTGAGAAGTCTAATGTCAGTTTAAATCTTGTTGTTTTGTAGATGTATCTTTTACAATTTTCTCTTTCTTATGACATTCTTACATTTTATTATACTGGATCTAGGGGTGGGTTTAGTAATCCAGCAGATACTTTGAGGTCTTATATCTTTCTTTGATTTTTTTTCATGTTACTTTTAAATTTCTTTCCTTACAGTCGTTATTTACAACAAAAAATCCTTTCACATTAAAAACCTGTACTCCCTGAATGCACCCCATCTTGTCGGATCTTAGAAGCTAAGCAGGGTCAGGCCTGGTTAGTACTTGGATGGGAGACCACCTGGCAATACCAGGTGTTATACGCTTAAATAAATAAATAAACAAATAACTTGTACTCAACTGTTCACAGCAGCTTCATTTCTAACAGCCAAAAACTGGAAACAATTCAAATGTCCTTCAAAGGGTAAGTAGTTAAACAAACTAGTTTATTCATACAATAAAATACTACTCAGCAGTCACAAATGAACTTTTTTTTTGAAACAGAGTCTTGTTCTGTGGCTCAGGCCAGAGTACAGTGGTGTGATCTCCATTCACTGCAACCTCCAACTCCTGGGTTCAAATGATTCTCCTGCCTCAGCCTCCCAAGTAGCTGGAACTACAGGTATGTGCCATCACACCCAGGCTAATATTTGTATTTTTAGCAGAGACAACGCTTCACCATGTTAGCCAAGCTGGTCTTGAATTCCTGGGCTCAACGAATCCTCTCACCTTGGCCTCCCAAAGGGCTAGGGTTACAGGTGTGAGCCACTGCGCCTGGCCAAGTGACTAATACACACAACCTGAATACATCTCAAGAGAATTATACTGAGTGAAAAAACAGACAACACAGATACAGCCACCTAATTTATTACTAACAGATACTGCAGCCAATGAAAGGAAGTTATCTTCAATAAATGGTGCTGTGTCAACTGAATATACACAAAAAGTAAATAAATCTTGATCTCTACCTCATATCAACAAAAAAGATCTAATTTCTAATTACAGACCTCATGTGAGGGGTAAAACAATAAAACTTATGTGAGAAAACATATGAAAATATATTTACCACATTGGGGTAGCTGAGACTTCTTAATCATGACACACCAAGGATCAACTATATAGGATATACTGAAAAATTGGACTACATTAAAATTAAGAATTTCTGTTCCCCAAAAGATATCATTAAGAGAATGAAAAGTCAAGCTGCCAAGTAAGAAAAGATATTTGCAATACATGTATTCAATAAAGGACTTATATCAAGAATATATAAAGAATTCCTACAAATGTACAGAAGAAAAGGACAAAAAGTTAAAATAGGCACCTCACACAATAGGATAGCCAATGGTGAAAAAAATGTATGAAAAGATTTTTAACTTTATTAGTCATCAGAGAAATTTAAGTTTATAATGCAACATCATTGAATTCACACCAAAATGGACAAAATGGGAAAGACAGATAATACTAAGTGTCAGAGAGAATTTGGAGTAATGGAACCCTAATAAAATGCTAATGGGTGTGCAAATTGAAAAACAACGCTTTGTAAAACAGTATCTGATAAAGCAAAATAGGAATATCTCATGCGCTTGCAATTCCACACCAGCAGAAATGCATAGCAGATTTTTAACACACTATCTGAGTAATTTATAATAAAACAAAAAAGACACAAACTATCAGTAGGGATAGAGAAGATCTAAGCACATGATTTACTAACTTAACTTAATCAACACATACATAAAGCAATGCACCTAACAACAACAAAAAATACATAGTCTTTCAAGTACATACAGACTCTTTACCAAAGCTGGTTATTTGCCAGGCCATAAAGCCTACCTTAACAAATGTTCACAGTTCCAAATAATACAGAAAATCCTCTCTGTCCGTAGTATAATTAACATAAAAATCAGTAACGAAAAGATAATTAGAAAATCCCCCATATTTTTATGCAGAACCTATATGTCAAAGAATAAATCACACTGCAAGTTAGAAAATATTCTTAATCAAACAGTAATGAAGATATGATATATCAAAACTTCAGGTACATAGCTAAAGCTGATTTAGAATAAATGTCTTAATATGCATTTAATGCAAATAATAACAAATTCTAAAAATAAATGATCTAAGCTTCCAAGTCAATAAGTTTTTTAAATCACTAAAGCGAACCCAAGAAAGTACAATGAAGAAAGTAATGAAGAGCAGAAATCAATAATATGGAAAACAGACATACAATAGGGAAGATCAACAAAGCTAAATATTGTTTCTTTGCAGAGACTAATGAAATTGGTGGGGGCCTGGTGAAATTGACGAAATAAGAGAGAAGGCAAACTGACCAATATGAGAGTAAAAAAGAGAACATCATACAAATTCTACACATATTAAACAGATCATGATGAACTACTCTATATCCTTAATGAAAATTTTAAGACCAGGCACCATGGCTCATGCCTGTAATCCAAGCACTTTGGGAGGCCGAGGCAGGTGGATCACATAAGATCAGGAGTTTGAGACCAGCCTGGCCAGCATGGTGAAACCCCATCTCTACTAAAAATACAAAATTAGCCAGGCGTGGTTGTTGCACCTGCAATCCCAGCTACTTGAGAGACTGAGGCAGGGGAATCACTTCAACTGGGGAGGTGGCGGCTGCAGTGAGCTGAGATCACGCCATTATACTCCAGCCTGGGCAACAAAAGCAAAACTCTGACTCAAAAAAAAAATTAATATTAGATAAAACAGAAAAATTTTAAGGAAAATATAGTTTACCAAAGTGATAGGTTTTTTTTAAAGAATGAAAGAAAACCTAAAAAGTTTTATATCTATGGAAGAAACTGGATTCATCATTTAAAATATTCTCACACAAAAAATTCCAGATGGCTTCACCAGAAAATTCAACCAAACATTTACGAAAAAATAACACCAATACAACACAAGCATTTACAGATAATGGAAAAAGAAGGCATACTTCTCAACTCATTTTATGAGACCAACATGACATTGTGAGCAAAACTTAAAAAGAACATTACAAGAAAGAAAAACCTCTCCCATCAACAGGGAGCAGAAACGTTAAACATTAGCAAACAAATCAAGCAATATATCAAAAAGCTGATCCTTATTTCCAAATTAGGTTTATTCCAAAAATATATGGTGATTAAAAATTAGAGGCTGGGCACAATGGCTGACACCTGTAATCCCAGCACTTCGGGAGGCTGAAGTGGGCGAATCATGAGGTCAGGAGTTCGAGACCAGTCTGGCCAACATGGCAAAATGCCGTCTCTACTAAAAATACAAAAAATAGCGGACACCTGTAATCCCAGCTACTCAGGAGGCTGAGGCAGGAAAATCGCTTGAACCCAGGAGGCGGAGATTGCAGTGAGCCAAGATAGCACCACTGCATTCCAGCCCGGGAGACAGTTTGAGACTCTGTCTCAAAAAAAAAAAAAAAAATAGAGAAACAGTATATATAGTCAACCACATTAACAGAAATAAATGAGAAAGTCATCTGATTGACTCAGTAAATCTCAATAGATTCAGAGAAAGTTTTTGCTAAAATTCAACTATTCAAGATTAAAAACAAAACACTCTTAGCAAACCAGGAATAAAAGAAACTTCTGTGGTCTGCAAAAGGGTATCTATAAAAATTATTCAGTAAATATCTCAAATAATGGCAAAATCTGAGGAAAAAAATGAGACAAGGGAGTCTGCTGTCACCACTTTTTCCCATGTGCTATTGGAGATCCTAGCCAGTGCAATAATCAGGAAATGCAAGAAAGGAGAAATTAAAAGATTCAGGATTAGAAAGAAATAAGTCAGTATTCACAGATGATTGTATATATTAAAAAGTCCTGCCAAAATCTACTATTATATTATTTGAAATATCAATTAACCTCAGCAAGGTTGCTGAATTCAAGATCAACATAAATTATCTCAGCTGGACACAGTGGTTCACATCTGTAATTCGAGCACTTTGGGAGGCTGAGGCGGGTGGATTGCTTGTGCCATAAAGTTCAAGACCAGATTGGGAAACATGGGGAGACCCTGTCTCCACCCAAAATACAAAAATTAGACAGGCATGGTGGTATGCACCTGTAGTCCCAGCTATTTGGGAAGCTAAGATAGGAGGATCGCTTGAGCCCAGGAGGTTGAGGCTGCAGGGAGCCATGATCACACATCGTACTCCAGCCTGGGTGACAACAAGAGAACTTATCTCAAAAATAAACCAAAAAAAAAAAACAATATAAATTGTATCAGTTTCCTATGCATGGACTATCATGCTAAAATTTGTGTTACTCATGTCTATCATTCTATCATAAAACGATATCTTAACATCTTATTTACTTATCAATAGTTGTTTTCCTGCCATAAACAATTCTGAAACAACATCATGAATCTCCACATCATCTGTAACAATGGGTCCAGTTTGCAGTATTCGCCTATTTGAATCAGAAAGAGCTTCCAAGACAGCCAGAAACCGGGATGCAGTGCTATCAAACATCTCATCCAGTAGCCGCTCTGTGACAGTACGTGGCCATGAAAACTGAAATTTAAAAAAAAAAAAGTTCAATCCATTTATTAAAGCTATTATACTGTGGGTACAGTGGTTCATGCCTGTAATCCCAATACTTTGGGAGGCCAAGGCAAGATCACTTGATCCAAGAAGTTTGAGACCGCCTGGGCAACACAGTGAGACCCCCGTCTCAACAAAAAATTTAAAAATTGGCCAGGCATGTTGGAATGTGCTTGTAGTCGCAGCTATTTGGGAGACTGAGGTGGGAGGATCACAGGAGCCTGGGGAGGTAGAGGTTGCAGTGAGCAAAGATCATGCCACTGCACTCCAGCCTGGGTGACCAAGTGAGACCTTGTCTCGGGAGTAGGGGAGGAAAAAAAGCTGTTATAAGGCAAAGAAAAGTAAGGCATGCTTAATCAATGCTAAAATAGACAGCAGTTGGTCTAACAATGAGATACCTGCTTTTATGGTTTTCACTTTTTGATGTAATGGCAGATTTCATTAGAGTTATATCATGCTGCCATTACACCAAAGACTTTGCTATTTCATCACATGCTAGTGTTTCCAAGGCAGCACTGAAAGGTTATTATGGTTTATTAAGCAAGCATCAATCTCTATTTGTTTTATGATATCTTTATTATAGCCGTAAGGAACTGATATTCAAACTTGGCTGCCTAAGAATCACTCAGGGGTGCTTTGTAGATTCAAGACCAGATTTCCAGAGATTTTGTGTGTCTGGGTAGGACACTTTCAATAAGCACTGCAGGATATTCTCATGCAGAAGGTCCTCAAGTCAAAATATGGAATAATATTTAGTAGTATAAAGAATGTAGTTTATGGTAATTAACTCTAAGAAAGAATTGATCAGCTTTATACTAACAGGCTAGTGACTGTTTAGAACCTGCCGTGAGTTCCCAGTCATTCTGCTTTGTACTGGCCCAAAATGACTGCACTTCCTGTAGATGCCTTACTGCCACGCTTCATGCTTCTCTCCATCAAATGACCTGTTCTCTGCATTTAGTTTGCCAGTAAATAAGAACCATAGTTCTAGTTAGCTTCTCTAGAATCCTTATCCAGCTGGAAGATATCCCCATTATTCCCTTGCTTTTATTTCTCTTCTTAGGGGAAAGTCAAAAAGGCAGAAAAACAACAGCAGGAGTAAAGTTGCCTGGAACTACTTTCCCGCAAACACGAGCTTCCTACTCATAAGCTTCTGGGCCTTTCAACCCATAGGTCAACTGATATGTTAAAAAACCTCAATAAAGCTTGAACTTCATGCCCTGCCTTGTCTTTTCTTACAGAGGTAAGGGCTTTTCCTAAGATTTTTATTGTAGGTTAAAACAGAGCTTTTAAAAATACATATTGAAAAAGCATAATTAATTTTATAATAATTAGAAATATTCAAAATGAAATGGTAAAACCCAAGTGGATAAAAGAATGAAGTCACTTATAAAAACATCATAGAAAAACTAGCAAAAAGAATGGAATGTTTATCAGGGCTGTGAATAAAATATTAAGTAAAAGATTTTAAAAATATAAATATTTAAAAGATCTATAAAAAAGAATTAAAGCTAAAGCAATAAGAAAACCAGTGGATTGTCAAGTATGAAAAGCAAAATAATAATGTCTCTAAAAACAATCTCATTCAAGTATATATTAAAAATTAAAATCTCTAGTAGATAGTCAAAGGCTGTGAAAAATAACTCACACAATGAAGGAAATATAAAGAGGAAACACAAATATAAGGAAAAGCTGGCTCAAAGATACAAAGTTAAAATGGCAAGCCATCTTATAAAAACTGAATTAGAAAAAGAAAAAAAATTAAGCAAATGATAATATCAAAACAATAACAGCTTGTGGTAAAATTGGTACTTGCAAATTGTCACCTTGAAAATAGGAATACTCATTTTGGAAATCAATTTGGCAATACATATCAAGAGAAATAAAGTGTTTATGTCCTTTGATTCCATAATCCTACACCTGGAATTTTATCCACAGGAAATAAAAGAAAGGAAAAAAAAAAATAAGCATGTCTGAAGATGTGGATGATATCAATACCTATAATAGCAAAAAAAATTGAAAGGACTAAAATAATAACGATAACATATTAGACAAATTATGACACATATACTGCATAGGATACATTATATTATTATTTTTAAATGTCAGTATGAATGAGAATCTGAATGGTACAACCATACAGTCTGGTTTCATCTCTAAATACTGTGGTCTCCATGACATCTACTCTAGGAGATGTGTTATGCTAATTTCCCAACATCACATGCCTTTTCCTAGTCAAGCTCTATTTATCACTGACCCCCAACGTATTTTGCCTACTCTGGCTTCTAAGCTATGAGCATGCTCTGATCCTTCACTTGGAATGTTTTTCTTCCTGTCTAGCCAAATTCTGCCCATTATTCCAAAGCTGTTCAAAAAGCCAGGGCTGCAATTTAGCATTTCTACATTCCACTATACTCGAAACCACAGTGGACATTCAATACATGGTTGTTGAATGAATAAATAATAAGCAATGATATAATAACAATAAATAATAAACAATGATAGCTAATATTTACTGAGGACCTACTTACCATCTGCCAGGAACACTCTGAGGGCTTTATTAAATGTAACTCGTTTAATCCTCACCATTATCATTATTTCTTTCTTAATATTTATCACAAGCTATAACCATTTTATTTATTTATGATTAATTCTCTACTAGAATGTAATCTTCATCTATCTTGTTCACATAGCAGGTACTGAAAAAATATTTATTGAATAAATCCCCAAATAATCTATCATTAGGAGTCTGAATTAGTAGTCCTTTAAAAGAATCTTTTGAGAGTCAGAATGATTTACTGTGAGTTAACAACTTACATACAAACCCAGAAATGTTTTAGAAAATCGGCTTAATGCATATTGAAATTAATTTGGTAGAAACATAATAAAATTATTTCATACACAGAAAACAGGACATTCTGCAAAATATGCCAAGGTATTACAGGATGACATTATAAAAAGGATGTGTTGACTAGTCTCTGAAACAACTATTAAACAATTACAATATTTTCTTAAAAAAAAAACATCAGAACTTTTCATACAACGATTATCTTAAGGGAAATCAAATACAAATTAGTTTTTAATGTAATTTTATCTGGAATTTTCAATATTTTTCTTTGAAAATGTATTTTGTTTTCCTACCAAGGTAACTACAAGTCCTAAACATATTCTAAGTAACAATAATCTTGCAACTTTGGATATTTAAATTTGGTTGCTCAGAGAAAAAATCCTGGTGTGGAAAAAACATTGTTCCCTGCTCTGTTACAAAGACTACAGCACCACTACTTAAGGATACCAGATGCAGACAGCAGCTTGAAAGCTTACCCAAGGAATTGCCTATAACTTAATTAATATACTTGCCAATCAATATGCTGTTGGCTAGTAAGGGATATAGCTTAAAGGGGATGTATAAAACGTACATGTGGGCTTAGTAGTCAATATTGTCACACGAAGTAGTAATGGAAAGTTACTATGTCCAAAAACTATTTGTATTTATATATAATAATTCATTTAAAAGAAAGAAAAAGGATTACTCCTACATGTATTAAGAAGAAATGAGGGCCGGGCACAGTGGTTCACACCTGTAATCCCAGCACTTTGGGAGGCCAAGGAGGGTGGATCTCCTGAGGTCAGGACATCGAGACCAACCTGGCCAACACAGTGAAACCCCATCTCTACTAAAAATACAAAAATTAACTGGGCGTGGTGGCGCATGCCTGTAATCTCAGCTACTTAGGAGGCTGAGGCAGGAGAATCCCTTCAACCTGGGAGGCAGAGACTGCAGTAGGCCAAGATTGCACCACTGCACTCCAGACCTGGGAGACAGAGTGAGACTGTCTGAAAAAAACAAAACAGAAAAAACAGAAGCAGAAGAAGAAATGAGGAAAGAGAGTAGCAGTGATTAGGGTAGCGGCCAAGCACTGGATTTAGAGATGCAGGTGCTGGTTCTGGTTCTGCCCTCAGCTGCCTTTGTAACCCTGAGCCAGTCATTTAACTACTGCAGGCTTTATTTTCCCATCTGTAAAATAAAAGGACTGAACCTAGTGATTTCCCAAATCCTTTCCAGGTTCTGAGATTTTATCCACCTCTTCTGTAAGAAACTGCTCTCTCCTTCCCTCAGATTCATTTTCAGTCCCCACAGGGAAGCTCACAGAAGAGGGTGTATATCTATCTAGAACAGCCAGGAAGAGCTTCAAAACAATATAGAATTGGGCCCTGGGGGATACTGAGAATCAGGAAGGCAAAGGCAAGAAGAAGAAAAAGACAAGGGGGAAGAAAAAGGGCAGAGGGCCCCACAGGCATAACTTTGCCTACTCCCTGCCCTGTGATAATCTTTACTGCTGCTTGCCAAATATGCTTGTGGTTGGGAGGGGCTGTGTGACTGGTGATGACATGTGAAAAGAAGAGATTCGTGTCAATTCCATGCTGAGTTATCACTGCCCACGCAAGGTCTCCAGAGCTATCCCCTCTGGCCAAATGACCAGCAATTTTTGAAATGAAGGCTGCTCTTCAGCTTGGCCCCAAGCAGCTTTTGTAAGGCAGAGCCCCGATAACGAAAATAACATATGACTTCAGTGGGCAATAAATTGTTGGTTTAAGCCACCTGAGGCATGGGGGTTGTTTGTTGCTACTGGATAACCTAGTTCCTGAACACTCCCAAGGGTGAAACCTAAGGCTGTTGAGAAAAGGTGCCTCCATCTTCTCTGCAGCCTCAAAGCCTGCTTGCCTGCTCAGCTAACCCTAAGCGGTCAAAGACAAAGGCATGTGCAGAACCACTCAGAAGCCTATTCATTTGCAAGAGCCAGTTCATTGAAACTTTTCACAGGCTCCTCTTCAGCCTCTTGTCCTTTAGGGTTGCAAAACTGGGATTGTGCTAAGACACAAAAGCTTTGAGAAAGAGATGAAGTGAGGCTATGTGCAAACTGGAAAACATTCTTCTCTCTATTTACCCATTGGTGCAGAGAATGGGGAGCAGAATTTAATAATGAGGGACTAGACCTGAAAGACACAGAAGCATAATACAAATAATACAAATACACTACAAAAAGAGTCTTAAAGAGAGAAGACACGTTTAGACTTACAGTTTGTACTTCCTTTAGGTTAATTCTTATCTTGGGTCTAAAGAGAGCTTTGTTTTTTCTTCTAGATTCATAGACTCCTCTTTTGAAGATCATCACTGCCATCTGCCTCAAAAAGAAGAATTATACATGAAGTTACAGTGAGATGCACTTCCCAACTGCTAATATTCAGCATTTAATCAGCTGTAGAGTGTGGCAAATTTCTTTTATTTCATGAAATTTTTATACCTTTATTGTGGCCTCTCTAAAATATCTTCTCGATTCTTCCTGGGATTTTGAGGAACTCATTAATTCCAGTTGCCTTAACTCATCAATTTTACCCAAAGCATGCCGAGCAAATGCCTACATGCAATTAAAATAAATTTAATTCATAAGTCAGAATATAGTGATTAAAACGTATAAAGACAATGTTTTGTTCTCTTAGGCGTTTGATTTAATTTGTGAATTAAGCTCTAAGGTTAATGCTGACTCCTTTTATCCAGTCTATCATTTTCTTTAAGAACCATTAAACTCCTAATAAATTGTGAGATACGGTAACTTTATGAATTATGAATTTTTCTTTTCGAGACAGAGTCTAGTTTTGTTGCCCAGGCTGGAGTGCAGTGGCATGATATCAGCTCACGGCAACCTCCGCCTCCTGGGCTCAAGTGATTCTTTTGCCTCAGCCTCCCCAGTACCTGGGACTACAGGTGCGTGCCACCATGCCCAGCTAATTTTTGTTTTTTTGTTTTTTTAGTAGAGACGGGGTTTCACCATATTGGCCAGGCTGGTCTCGAACTCCTGATCTCATGATCCACCCACGTCGGCCTCCCAAAGTGCTGGGATTACAAGTGTGAGCCACCGTGCCTAGCCTAAAAAGTAAGGAAAGCTGAAACATGATTTAAACAGTAGCTGCCCATACAGATGATCACTTCTTAGCATTGCATGTCCTTATGTGCGTGCACACACACACACACACACACACACACCATACAGACATGTCCTCAGGTGCTCTTCTCAATTCCTAAACTTCCTATCATGACATGCTGTATTGCCTACTTAACTGTTGACACTGACCACCAAACTGTGAATTCCTGAAAGGATCTTACTCATTTTCGTGTCTCCAATACCCAGCACACTGTATTTTATAAATATCTGAAGGAAGGAAGGAAGAAGGGAGGCTTTCTTATTTAATCATATCACCATTATTATAATCCTCTAGAGATAACAAAAGAGTTCAAAGGAGTTATTGAGAGCTCAGTAACAAGAGTTCATGTCCCTTATTTCACTATTTCTTTGAAATATTTCATTCATCATTTATAATTTTTAATGCGGATGCTTCTAGACCAACCACAGTATCAACATATATGAAGGGTTACATTTTCCAATAAGAAAAAAATTCCAGTAGGGATCAAATGGCCCAACTCTATAAAAGTTCCATTCCCTAATAATTTTAATAGCTATAGTGTACCATCACTAGTACACTAAAGTTAACTATATGCATATGATGAGTTGTTTTTCTGGATTCCTTGAGCTACATAAGTACCTCATGAAGACTGAATTAGGCTATTCCTCTGCCTATGTGCCACCAGCATCCAACCCTTCAGAATTGTTCAGGCAGGAAAAACTAAATGGAACTATAAATCGGCCAGATTATTTATTTATGGTTGTTAACAAGATATGAACAGGCACGTGCTCAGCCATGAAGGCAGCCCTAAACAAGACTTCCAGCCAAAGAGGTTGACTAGAGCAGAAACCCAGCTTACACCCCACATACCAAATCAGGTACCCTTGTGCAGGAATGTGTTGACCCAAAGGAAGGGGTGCTTATTTCTCATTGTCACCAAGGCCCCATCCACAGACCAAGCCAGGTACCATGTGCTATAGAGAATGTGCCTTTTTAAACTTTACACAGGAGCACTCTATAGGCCAATAGAAGCTCTGAAGTTTATATATATATATGTGTGTGTGTGTGTGTGTATACACATTATATATATATTTTTTTGAGACGGAGTTTCACTCTTCTCACCCAGACTGGAATGCAATGGTGCGATCTCGGCTCACTGCAACCTCAGCCTCCTGGGTTCCTGCCTCAGCCTCCTGAGTAGCTGGCACTACCACCATGCCTGGCTAATTTTTGTATATGTAGTAGAGACAGGGTTTTGCCACACTGGCCGGGCTGGTCTCAAACTCCTGACCTCAGGTGATCCAACCACCTTAGTCTCTGAAAGTGCTGGGATTACAGGTGTGAGCCATCATGCCCAGCCTGAATTTGAGTTATATTTCAATCCAGAAAGATATGAAAAAAGGAAAAACAAAAAAACAGAGTACATTAAATGGTGGTTAAAAGGTGTATTCAATTAGCTGGGCATAGTGGTGTGCAACTGTAGTCCCAGCTACTCCAGAGGCTGAGGCTGCAGTGAGCCATAATCATACCACTGCACTCCAGCCTGGGCAACAGAGCAAGACTGTCTTAAAAAAAAAGAAAGTAAGTAAGTAAAAAAGAATGTGTATTAAATGGTAGTTAGCAGAGAAAAGCAAGAAAAGAGTGTAGTGAGTGATAAGGAACACAAAACTAAACCAGGAAGGAAGGTGGCTTGAATCCAAGAACAAAGTGAGGATGGAAAGACAGCAGATAGAAGTTTTTGACATCCACTGCACAGCATGGTGATCATAGTAAACAATAACATACTGCATATTTCAAAACTGCTACTGGATAGATTTTAAGTGTTCTCACTATAAGAAAAGGGTATGTGAGAAGATGAACATGTTAATTAGCTTGATATAATCATTCCACAATGTATACATTCAACAGAACATCACATTGTACCTCACGAGTATATACAATTATTGTCATTTAAAAATAAAAATCTTGATTTTAAAAAATCCTAGAAATCTTACTCAGAAATGGAGCAAAGAAGGTGAAAGTCAATAGAGAATAAAGGAGAGAGCAGCAAGGAGGGCAAGAGAGAAACAGAATGGAAAAGGCAAGCAAATGTGTGCAAATAAAGCCTTGAACTTTTGTCTTGGCTTCATTTCAATTCTTTGGTTGGGTTTTGCTTTTCCCCTTGCAGGCAACTAAGGAAGAAAATGCTGGAAACGCTGCATTTTAAAATACTGGGCCCAGGAACGGTGGCTCACACCTGTAATCTTAGCATTTTGGGAGGCCAAGGCTGGCAGATCACCTGAGGTCAGGAGTTTGAGAACAGCCTGGCCAACATGGCAAAACCCTATCTCTACTAAAAATACAAAAAATAGCTAGGATGGGTAGCACATGCCTGTAATCCCAGCTATTCAGGAGGTTGAGGCAGGAGAAACGCTTGAACGTGGGAGGCAGAGATTGCAGTGAGAAGACTGAACGTGGGAGGCGGAGGTTGTGGTGAGAAGACTGAACGTGGGAGGCGATGGTTGCAGTGGGAAGACTGAACGTGGGAGGTGATGGTTGCAGTGGGAGGGCTGAACGTGGGAGGCGGAGGTTGCAGTGAGAGAAGACTGAACGTTGGAGGCGGAGGTTGCAGTGAGAGAAGACTGAATGTGGGAGGCAGAGGTTGCAGTGGGAAGACTGAATGTGGGAGGCGGAGGTTGCAGTGGGAAGACTGAATGTGGGAGGCAGAGGTTGCAGTGAGAGAAGACTGAATGTGGGAGGCGGAGGTTGCAGTGGGAAGACTGAATGTGGGAGGCGGAGGTTGCAGTGAGAGAAGACTGAACATGGAGGTTGCAGTGGGAAGACTGAATGTGGGAGGCGGAGGTTGCAGTGGGAAGACTGAATGTGGGAGGCGGAGGTTGCAGTGAGAGAAGACTGAACGTTGGAGGCAGAGGTTGCAGTGGGAAGACTGAATGTGGGAGGCGGAGGTTGCAGTGAGAGAAGACTGAACATGGAGGTTGCAGTGGGAAGACTGAATGTGGGAGGCGGAGGTTGCAGTGAGAGAAGACTGAATGTGGGAGGCGGAGGTTGCAGTGGGAAGACTGAATGTGGGAGGCGGAGGTTGCAGTGAGAGAAGACTGAACATGGAGGTTGCAGTGAGAGAAGACTGAACATGGAGGTTACAGTGAGAGAAGACTGAACGTTGGAGGCGGAGGTTGCAGTGAGAGAAGACTGAATGTGGGAGGCAGAGGTTGCAGTGGGAAGACTGAATGTGGGAGGCGGAGGTTGCAGTGAGAGAAGATTGCAGCATTGCACTCCAGCCTGGGAGACAGACCGAGACTCCATCTCCAAAAAAAAAAAAAACTTGACTCCTCAGAGTTAAAAAGCAGCATACCTCTCCGTGAATCCCAGCTTGGCAATCATAGCAGCACTGGCAAACAGCCGTGTAGAGAGTAGCCCGCCATGTCAAGTATCTGAGTGACAGAAGCGGGACGGAGGACTCCATACACATGCTGGCCCACAGGAGATACTCTAAGGCCTGCAAAGCAAAGGGCACCATTGGATTTGTTTTCATTTTAAGGTAATAATGATGTATTAAATATAATCAAATTCTAAGTTGTGAGCACAAGTTGCTGATTACTTAAACCAAAAATACCATAAACAAAGTGTCACAAAAAAACAAGCATTAAAAAAGTAAAAGACAATTTAAGGAACTCAAAATCTCAAATAAGTCATTTTGGAAGACATTCTAAAATGTCCTTTAGAATGTCTTCCAAACATGGAGTGCAATGGCACAATCATGGCTTACTGCAACCTCTGCCTCCTGGGTTCAAGTTATTCTTGCAGTAAGCCATGATTGTGCCTCAGCCTCCCAAGTAGCTGGAACTACAAGTAGGCGCCACCATATCTGGCTAATTTTTGTATTAAAGAGAAAGGGTTTCACCATGTTGGCCAAGCTGGTCTTGAACTCCTGACCTCCAGTGATCCACCTGCCTCAGCCTCCCAAAGTGCTGGAATTACAGGCATGAGTCACTGCACCCGGACTGTCTTATTATACGCCTCTTTGCTTATTTTTATTAATACATACCATGTCAACAGTAGTTTAGGAACTAACTCCAATGATACAATTATCATTTGTTGGAACTAGTATATTATAATGAAGATTAGCTGGTATAGGAGGTAAGGAAATGAAAACGGTTTACAGCCTGGGGCCTGCGATGCTTAGTAGAAATGGTCCAAGATTAGAATCAAATAAACGTGGATTTCAGTTCCAATTTTACTATCTAGTGGCTGGATCATTTTACCTCTTTAGATGTCAATTTCCTCATCTGTAAAATGGGTATTTTTTCACATCCCAATAGTGTTATTACAGAGAAAGAGACAATGGACATGACATGCTAGGAAAATACTTCTATAATCTAAAATAAAATCCACCTTGATAGACCTCCAGTGCATTGGTCCTCATGCTTTCCAGAACAGCACAGAGAAATCCAAAACTCACTTCTAAATTACAGCCGTCCACCCAGGCACAGTAGCTCACACCTATAATCCCAGCACTTTGGGAGGCCAAGGTGGGCAAATCACAGGGTCAAGAGACAGAGACCATCCTGACCAACATGGTGAAACCCCTTCTCTACTAAAAATACAAAAATTAGCTGGATTACTAGGTGCATGCCTGTAATCCCAGCTACTCGGGAGGCTGAGGCAGGAGAATCGCTTGATCCCGGAGGCGGAGGTTACAGTGAGCCAAGATCATACCACTGCACTCCAGCCTGGTGACAGAGTGAGACTCCATCTTAAAAAAGAAAAAAAACTAGAGCCATCCAGGAATCTAAAAACACCTATGCAGCCCACCCTCTCCCTCAGCTTGCTTGTCCAGGGTAAACATTCCCAAGTACTTGCATCCCTCACGGACCCACACTGCCCTTCTCCACCACGACTGGCCTTCTGTGGTTTTGCCCCAGGTTGCCAGTGCCCTTCCAGGATGTATGGCTAGACCGCAGTACAGTGAACGTTCTCAGTCCCTGGCTATGGACACTGTACCTCTATTAAATCAACTACCACTTTGAGAAAGGTGTTGTTATTTCCTCTATCTTTTTTTTTTTTGAGACGGAGTTTCACTCATGTCACCCAGGCTGGAGTGCAATGGCACGATCTCGGCTCACCGCAACTTCCGCCTCCTGGGTTCAGGCAATTCTCGTGCCTCAGCCTCCCGAGTAGCTGGGATTACAGGCACGCGCCACCATGCCCAGCTAATTTTTTGTATTTTTAGTAGAGACGGGGTTTCACCATGTTGACAAAGATGGTCTCGATCTCTTGACCTCGTGATCCACCCGCCTCGGCCTCCCAAAGTGCTGGGATTACAGGCGTGAGTCACCGCGCCTGGCCCCTATTTCCTCTATCTTATATAATAGTTAAAGAAGCTGAGGCTGAGAAAAGTTCCTTTGCTCAAGGTCACACATCTAGTCAGAGATGTACTGAGACCAGGGCCAATGTCACCTGACGTTGACATTGCTGAGGTTGATTAATTGCTGTTTTTGTTGTTGCTGTCATGGCTATTGTTGTTTGCTAATCTGACCACTTCGTGAACTGAAATGAAATTAACAACCACCAAAAACCCTTGAATTTTTCTCACATTGGCTGCTTCCTCACAATCTCTATTTCCTATTTTTGCATTTGGATTGCTGTGGTTTGGGTTCAGTGGTATATCATGAAGCCACTTATAAATTTCACCTTTAAATTCACATCTTTCTTTTTTTTTTTTTTTTTTTGAGATGGAGCTTCGCTCTTGTTACCCAGGCTGGAATGCAATGGCACGATCTTGGCTCACCGCAACCTCCGCCTCCTGGGTTCAGGCAATTCTCCTGCCTCAGCCTCCTGAGTAGCTGGAATTACAGGTATGCGCCACCATGCCCAGCTAATTTTTTGTATTTTTTTTAGTAGAGACGGGGTTTCACCATGTTGGCAAGGATGGTCTCCATCTCTTGACCTCTGATCTACCCACCTTGGCCTCCCAAAGTGCTGGGATTACAGGCGTGAGCCACAGCGCCCAGCTAAATTCACATCTTTCTAAAATCCCTCAGGACTCTTGGTATTAGAAATTTCACATTTCAAAATAAAAATAGTTTCAGTTAACAATTGTTCACACTGTATTTGTTTATAGAAAATCAAAATTTTTTGTGCCAGAAGGAATCTTAAAAGTAACCGAGCTTGCCTCCATGAGGCTAAATTCATTCTAAGCAAAAGAGCTGGGGCTGAAACTCAGATCTTTGAACTCCCAAGTGCAGTGTTCTTTCCACCTGATAAAGGGGAGGAGCCTTGAAAAAGGGGAGAAGCTCACCATAAAGCACTTAGGGTTCTGAAAACCTAGCTTTCAAGTTTAAACAGGAAAAGCCATTTTCAAAATGTGACTCAATTTGTAGCATTTTTTTCCTTACCATTAAAAGCTACAAATAATTGCTTCTATTTATTAAAAAACGTAACAGGATACATCAGGACTATTTTCTTCATGGGGATATCATTTGAAAAGTCAAATGATTACCATAACCAAAATACCCCAGTAAGAGTATATCTTAGGTGTTGGGTAGGAAACATACCTATGATTAACCAGCTCAGCCACAGGATGGCGCTGCAGCCTCATTTATATCAGCTTACACCATTTAAGAAAAATGAAAATCAATTTCAAGGTCAGGAATTTGAAGTTTATGTAATGGTATGTGAAATAATTTGACAGTAACTGTTCAAGCCACGTATGCTGTCAAACTATTTCACTTTCATAGTTAAAATGAAACAGAAATCAATAATTTCTTAGAATGGATTCTAGATGTATTAATGTTTGCTACATACTATACTGCAGTTTAAAATGCCACCAAAGAAACTAAATTATTCCATAAACAAAAGCAAAATGGTCACATGTCTTCAGGGAAAGAGGTTTCAGAAATCTGACCCCTCTATTCCCTAAGCTTATGCTGGTGCTTAGGTGTTTCTCACCTGGGGAAGAGCCCCGCTTAGTTTTGGTCTTCGGGATGTCTTTGGGAAGACAGGGTTATATCAGAAAATATCAACCCCTTCCCTGCAACTTCTCCATTTGAGTACATAAACCAAAATAGAATGGGTCATGACAGTATTCCATTTAGTCAGTAGACATGCATTATTCTAATGGTACAGGGTGACATTGGCCCCGGTCTCAGTACATCTGACTAGATGTGTGACCTTGAGCAAAGTAACTTTTCTCAGCCTCAGCTTCCTTATCTATTATATAAGATAGAGGAAATAACAGCACTTTTCTCAAAGTGGTGGTGTGAAAATTAAATGAGATAATAAATGGAAGTGCTTACAAGCATACTTGATGACATCAGGCATTCATTCAATCAATGTTAATAAGGGTGATGCTAGTGCCCACCTCATAAGCCCTTCACGGGACCCAACACATAGTACAGATTTATTAAGACAAAAAGCTAGCCATCATGCCTAGACCCTATATCAACGGGAGTTTAGACAGCATGAGGAGCCCAGATCTATTTCTCCCTCCATCTTATGCTATAACATGTTATAGTGAACTCTAAAGTCACTACAGTAATCAAATCCCTGGGACCCGGATCTCAGACACAGGGGGACCTCCAAGGGCTTGTCTCCATTAAATGGACCCATCAAATCCATTTTTGGCCTCAGCTCAGAAAACAATTTACCAGCTGGGGGCTTGGGAATTACTGGTGAAAGTTATTAATTTCCTTGAAACATATTATATTGAACAAACTGAAAGAACGTCATTCAGATCTTCAGGTGTCAGATGTACAACCACCCACCACCCCAAAATTATTGCCTCCCTCACTTCCCATTCCCATCCCACAAGACTGGCACCACAGGACCATACTCATTTGGGGCCAGGCACTGTGGCTCACGCCTGTAATCCCAGCACTTTGGGAGGCTGAGAGAAGCAGAACACCTGAGGTCAGGAGTTTGAGACCAGCCTGGCCAACATGATAAAACCCTGTCTCTACCAAAGTACAAAAAATTGCCAGCTGTGGTGGTGGGTGCCTGTAATCCCAGCTACTCAGGAGGCAGAGGCAGGAGAATCACTTGAACCCAGGAGGCGGAGGTTGCAGTGAGCTGAGATCGCAAGACAGAGCAAGACTCCCTCTCAGAAAAAAAAAAGAAAGAAAGAACTATGCTCACTTTAGTCTCATTTTACAAGCAATTTAAGTTGTGAAATATAATGAACAAAAAATAATTTTAGTGGCATAATTTCTGTGCCCTGTGCTTTTATTAATTCATATAAATTATTATTCGTTCCCATGATTTCCTTATGGCTGAAAAACTGAAGATTTATCTCCAAATAATATTAGAATACATATTTAATCAGCATGGCAAAATACTCAAATGTCCTCATTTTATCAGAGGCAAACTCAAGATATATGAGGAGAGCAAATAAAATATCTTACAAAGGTCATGCATAAGAAAGGTTATGAACAAGAAATTATTTTAAGATGACTGTCACTTTAAAATGCTCTAAGCGTTAACAAGCACACACACTAACAGTGAAATGTTGGCACAGACATCTCTGCCCTTCAAAGCTTTGGCAGCAAGCACTGCAGCAGACCACACTCTGACGGTCCTATGAAGCCGTGTTTGTTGTTACACCAAGTGTTACCAGATTACGCAAATTCTCTTTAGGAAATCATCTGGAGCTGAATGTAGTGAATGCAATAGTCTCTAGGCCAAGTTTACATTAGACATGGGACAGGCCCCCCTCAATTTAATTCACACTCAGAAAGCTGGCACAGAGCTTGTTCAAGTCACTGTCTGTTATAGAGTTTTTTTAATGTGAGAAGCAAAACAGAGAGAACACATAATTAATGTTATCCATTGAGCATGCAAATATATTGATTTCCACTGTTATTTTTCAAATGTTGTCAACTTTTAAGATACTTGGCTATGCTTTGAGGAAATAAGAAAAAAACGTATCTCTCCTGAGTGTTAGGATATTCAGGGTTAGGTTCTGCATGGAATAAAGAATAAAGCAGTCATGTTTTAGATGCCAGCAACAACTCAAGCAGAGTCTCAACGGGAGTATATTCACCCTTCTTGGCCTACATTGCAATAACTGGAAAATTAATACAGGGAATAAATAAATTTTTCACAGTGGCTCACACCTGTCTCCTGCAGACAAAAATCCTACCAACATCATAGGGAAGTCAGTAGAAGTGTCAGTAACTTCCTCAAGCCAACACTGAGCAGTGACTGCTGGTAAGAAAGAATCTTGTTACCAAAGTCTCCTTGCCTTTGTCATGCAGCTGGGTTAGAGTTTAAGTGTGCATTCACCCAATTCGTATGCAGGCCATAAGTAAAGCGGAAGCACTTCAAGCGAATAAAATCTAAGCTCCATATCATGACATAAAAGGGGTAACCATGGTTTATCATCCAAACCAGGACACTTTTTTTTCATTTTTTTCATTTTAATTTTATTTTGAGACAGAGTCTTGCTCTGTCACCCAGGCTAGAGTGCAAAGTGGCACTATGTTGGCTCTCTGCAACCTTTGCCCCCCAGGCCCAAGCAATCTTCCCACTTCAGCCTTCCAAGTAGCTGGGATTACAGGCACAAGCTACCACGTCCAGCTAATTTTTGTATTTTTTGTAGAGATGGTGTTTTGCCATGTTGGTCAGGTTGGTCTCAAACTCCTGGCCTCAAGTGATCTGCCCATCTAGGTCTCCCAAAGTGCTGGGATTACAGGAATGAGCTACTGAGCCCAGCCCAGGTCACGTTTTGTTTTGTTTTGTTTTGTTTGTTTTGTTTTGTTTGGTTTGGTTTGGTTTGGTTTTGTTTTGTTTTGTTTTGTTTTTGAAACTGAGTTTCACTCTTGTTACACAGGCTAGAGTGCAATGGCATGATCTCGGCTCACCACAACCTCTGTTTCTTAGGTTCAAGAGATTCTCTTGCCTCAGCCTCCCGAGTAGCTGGGATTATAGGCATGTGCCACCACGCCCAGCTAATTTTTGTTAGTAAAGACAGGGTTTCTCCATGTTAGTCAGGCTGGTCTTGAACTCCCAACCTCAGGTGACTTGCCGGCCTCGGCCTCCCAAAGTGCTGGGATTATAGGCACAAGCCACCGCGCCCAGCCCCAGGCCACTTTTAATAGTAAAAGTGGGCATTGTTGATAATTACTACAGGACAACAGGCATAAACCAGGACTTTTCTGGGCAAGCCAGGATGGATGGTCACCTACCTAAAGATACAGTAACCAGATGGATGTTCAGTATCAAGTGTGAGAAGTATGACTATCTGAGAGACAGAGAATACCTAACAATTTCAGGAATGGCCTTTCTTTTCATTAATATTTTATCATATTTTTAAATATGATCCCTGTTAAAGCAAAACTAAGAATAATAAAGCTATATAATACATATATTTACTAAAGTTTATATTATTTAATTCTCTAAATATTCATTGTTTAACATTCAATATACTGTGTAATGAAAGCCTTAAGAAAACTAAAACAGGAAATAGAGGGGAAAATATTTTGTCAGTAAATTTCATACCTTGGAAGACTGACCTATGACCATCAGTTTTCTGCAAATGGTGTAAATATAAATGGTACCTGGATGGAGAAAACGATTGTTAACATGTTGTACAGTCAAACGATGAAAACTTTACATTTCAATTTCTGTGGTTCAAGTCTGTAGGTCCCAAAACAAGTGATCTCATGAGAAAGTCAGATAATGCTATAGAGTTATACTCATGAACATTTTTCTTGTAACTTGTAAACAAAATCATCAAAATAATTAATATGGCCATATTTTAAATATGTTGACACAGGAATCTTTTAGTCTCATTTTATAGGCAATTTAAGTTTTGAAGTATAATAAGCAAAATAATAATTTTAGTGGCATAATTTATGTACCCTGTGCTTTTATTAATTCATATAAAATATTGGTTCCTGGCCAGGCACAGTGACAGTGGCTCAGACCTGTAATCCCAGCACTCTCGGAGGCCAAGACAGGTAGATCATGAGCTCAGGAGTTCGAGACCAGCCTGGCTAGTATGGTGAAACCCCGTCTCTACTAATAATATAAAAATTAGCCAGGCATGGTGATGCACACTTGTAGTCCCAGCTACTTGGGAGACTGAAGCAGAAGAATTGCTTGAACCCAGAAGTTGGAGGTTGCAGTGAGCTGAGATGGCGCCACTACACTCCAACCTGGGTGAAAGAACGAGACTCTGTTTTAAAAAATATATATATATTTAATTGGTTTCTATGGTTTCCTTATGGTTGAAAAACTAAAGATTTATATTTATCTCCAAGTAAGACTAGAATACATATTTAATCAGCATGGTAAAATACTCAACAAGGAAACTCATAATAATTTAAAATTCATAATGCACGACAGGTCATATTATATTCACTCTAAGACTCATATAACATTTTTCCCACTATCAAGGTATGTCCTATAAGCATTCTAATGAAAAAAACAGCATTTCCAACACCTAAATTAAGTTATTCAAGTATGCTTTTGTGTCAGACCATTAATTAAATGAGGACAGAGGGGTGGAAGTAAGGTTGAAGGGAGGAGTGGGGAACATCACCACACTTCTCTCTGTATACAAGAAGTTTATCAAGTACTCAGAAGATGGTAGCATGCTTTAAAAAGGCATGTAATTGCAACAGGTAGTCTAAATATTTTCTATAAAATATCTCATCAAATATTCACAACCATAAAAATTCAACAATTATAATCCTGTGTTCTAGTTTAAACTTTTAAGTTTCTGATGTCCAGGCATGGTGGCTCCTGCCTGTAATCCCAGCACTTTGGGAGCCCAAGGAAGACAAAATATCAGAGGTCAGGAGTTTGAGACCAGCCTGGCCAACATGGCGAAACCCTATCTCTACTAAAAATACAAAATTAACTGGGTTGATGGTGTGCACCTGTAATCCCAGCTACGCAAGAGGCTGAGGCAGGAGAATTGCCTGTGCCCAGGTAGCACAGGTTACAGTGAGCCAAGAATGTGTCACTGCACTCCAACCTGGGTGGCAGAGCGAGACTCCATCTCAGAATAATAAATAAATAAATAAATAAAAGTTTCTAAGAAAAAGACCAAAACATCCATCACTTGATTAAAACACAATTGTTAGAATAATAAACATCAATTACACAAATCAGTGACCCCCAAAATGGAACAAAACTTAAATGTATAGTACTGTAAATTTCATAGAGAATGCAACTGGTCCTTAACATTCAGGGACTCGACCTTATTCATGTGACTACCCCAGGACATCCAGTTATTCATTCCACTGAAGAACCACTGGGGAAGAAACCACTCGGCTAATAACAACTCAAGCTCAGCCAACTTATCTCATGAAGCTTTGCTGACCTCTACCCTTCATCATTTTTTCTTTTCTTTTCTTTTTTGAGATGGTGTTTCGCTCTGTCACCCAGGCTGGGCTGAACATCTCAATCTCGGCTCACGGCAACCTCCGCCTCCCAGGTTCAAGTGATTCACCTGCCTCAGGCTCTTGAATAGATGAGACAACAGGTGCACACCACCATGAGCTAATTTTTGTATTTTTAGTAGAGACAGTGTTTCTCCATATTGGCCAGGCTGGTCTTGAACTCCTGACCTGAAGTGATCTTCTGAAAGTGCCGGGATGATAGACGTGAGCCACCATGCCTGGCCTCTATTCTTCATCTTTAAAAATAAGCTAGTATGGCCTGGCATCGTGGCTCATGCCTGTAATCCCAGCACTTTGGGAGGCTGAGGTGGGCAGGTCACGAGGTCAAGAGATCAAGATCATCCTGGCCAACATGGTGAAACCCCATCTTTACAAAAAATACAAAAATTAGCCAGGCATGATGGCACATGCCTGTGGTCTCAGCTACTCGGGAGGCTGAGGCGGAAGAATAGCTTGAACCCAGGAGGTTGAGGTTGCAGTGAGCCAAGATTGCACCACTGCACTCTAGCCTGGCAACAGAGCAAGACTCCATCTCATAAATAGATATAAATAAATAAATAAATAAATAAATAAGCTAGTGTAAGTGTTTCTTTGTAGGAAAAACAAATAGTCACCAAATAAAAATATGCACAGGAAACACATGCCTGTCCACAAAACATGTGATAAGGGTATAAGCCAGGAGCCTGTATAAACATGCCAGTTAACGGGGAGCTGGGAAACGGAAGGCCTCAGGAGACTGCCCTCAAGAATGACAAAGGCCCTCTGTATTTCAAAAAAGTGCCTTTAACCTTTCCAGCCCTAAAAGGTTCTGACCGTAACCGAGTCCTTTGACAGTTCAAGATGTTGGCATGGCTCACAAATTCCTGCGGCAAAAGCCAGATTGGGAGAGTAAATGGTATCAGAGAGAACACAGACTGAATCTTTAAGATCTCAGGGTATTTCTGGAAGTTTGTTTCACTTTGTTTTATTTATTTATTTATTTATTTATTGAGATGGAGTCTCACTCTGTCATCCAGGCTAGAGGGAAGTGGTATGGTCTTGGCTCACGGCAACCTCTGCCCCCTGGGTTCAAGCAATTCTTCTGCCTCAGCCTCCCAAGGAGTTGAGATTATAGGTGCATATCACCATATCTGGCTAATTATTGTATTTTTAGTAGAGATGGGATTTCACCATGTTGGCCAGGCTGGTCTCAAACTTCTGAACTCAGGTGATCCACCCACCTGGGCCTCCTAAAGTGCTACTAGGATTACAGGCATGAGCCACCATGCCCGGCCTGTTTCATTTTTAAATGAGTCCCTAATAGGAGTTTATTGCCTGGTCTTGTGAGTCCTTTTCTTTAAAAATGGCCACCATCAAAATAATCTAGTTGAGGGTCTAAATTAGTTGGGTTCTGTTTAGTTGAAAAGTAAGGTATTACTCAATATTCATATACCCAATTAGATTTATTTTTTGAGATGGAGTCTTGCTTTGTCACCCAAGCTAGAGTGCAGTGGCATGATCTTGGCTCAGTGCAACCTCCGCCTCCCAGCTTCAGTCTATTCTCCTGCCTCACCCTCCCAAGTAACTGGGATTACAAGCATGCACCACCATATCCAGCTAATTTTTATATTTTTAGTAGAAACCAGGTTTTCCCATGTTAGCCAGGCTGGTCTTGAACTACTGACCTCAGGTGATCCGCCTGCCTTGGCCTCTCAAAGTGCTGGGATTGCAGGTATAAGCCACTGCACCCAGACTAGATTTTATTGAAAAACCAAGATTGGTTAAATATTTGAAGAAACCAAGGATGTGTGTGTATAACAGTCAATTAAAAGTAAATATAGTAAATGTCTAACTGAAAAGGTCAAATGTATTTTGATCAGTTATCAAGGCACACTTGACCTTTTCAGTCAAATATAGTTTTGATTACTGAAATTACAAATTGTCAACACTTCAGGGTCTCTGCACTTGCTGATCCCCCAGTTGGAATGCCCTTCCACCAAATACCCAGAAGCTTCTCTCTCCAAACTCCTTCAAGTCTTTGTTGCACTGTCCTCTCAGCAGCCCAGCCCCTGCTCTCTCTATGCCCTTCTGGCTTTTTCTTTTCTCCATAGCACTCATCACTATCTGACATGATTTACTTTTTATTTGTTTAGCATCTCCCTGCCATGGAAGTCAGAATGAGAATGTGGTTTTTGTCTGCTGTTCACTCCTGTGTCCCGAGCACCTAGAACAATGCCTAGCATATGGTAGGCATTCAGTAAGTTTTAGATGAATAAATTAACACAGGGAGAGTAGTTACTGAAACTAAGTATGTGTGTCTCCCAGAACCCAGTAATTCCACTCCTGGGCACAGATCCCAGAAAACTCTTGTGCAAGTCTATAAAAGGACATGTATAAGGATATCCATTGCAGAATTATCTGTGCAATTAGAGAGGTAAGGCAAAGCAGGTGCTCATCCCCGGGTCTCTATGGATATCTGGAATATAATTCAGCAGGCAGAATTAAAGAATTAGATTTACATACAGGAACTTGGCTAGATTCTAAAAAAAAATCATAATATTCACCAGGAAAAAAAATAGGAAACAGAATAAAATCTAGAGCACAATGTCATGTGTATTAAAAAAGAGAAAAGAAAAAAAACACACACCAAGAAAAAGATATCAAGGATATATCTTTAATATCCTCCAAAGATATAGGATACAGAAATAATATTTCTTTAAAGACTATTGAGAGAGACCAGGCACAGTGGCTCATGGCTGTATTCCCACCACTTTGGGAGACTGAGGCAGGCAGATTGCTTGAGGTCAGGAGTTTGAGACCAGCCAGGCTACCATGATGAAAACCCGTCTCTACTAAAAATACAAAAGTTAGCCGGGTGTGGTGACATGTGCCCGTAGTCCTATCTACTCAGGAGGCTGAGGCAGGAGGATCACTTGAACCTGGGAGGCAAAGGTTAAAGTGAGCCAAGATCACGTCACTTCCCTCCAGCCTGGGTGATACAGCAAGGCTCCATCTCAAAAAAAAAAAGAGAGAGAGACAGACTATTGAGAGAAATGTAATCCCAGTGCTTTGGAAGGCTGATGCAGAATGGCTTGAACCCAGGAGTTCAAGGCTGAAGGCTTCAGTGATCACACCACTGCACTGCACTCTGGGTGAGAGAGTGAGACCCTGTCTCAGACAAAAACAAAAAAACAAACAAAAAAGACTATGTGGGCTTGTGATATTAAAAGGAGTAAAGACAGGAAATCAAGCTCATTTCCACCACTCAAACAAGACCTGACCACAGGGCTCAACCACTGGGCCTAACATGGAACTGCTGCTCCTTCTCTGTCCCTACCCAGATGTGTGAGTGACGGCAGTGGGTGACACAGGGAACGTGGAATCTCTGGAGGAAGATCAGATACAAAAGCTTAATAATCACTGGACTGAAAAATATCAACAAAGCTAGCCTCATCTCTGGCAGCAAATGTAAAGTCTAATTTCAATCAAAATGTCAAAACATGATTTGGGGGTGGGTGAGAAAGGAAAAGGCTAGAAAACAGAATTTCAGTTGCCATGGATGAGGGAAAATCCAATACGTTTCCTTGAAGCTATTTGATCCTGGCTTACACAAATCAAACACACTGTCATTAGTATTTTCCTTTCAAAAAATCTATTGTCCAGAGAACAATGCAGTAAGTTGCAACTTTAGAGAAAAGCAAGTATTACATTTTTTAGCTAAGATTCATTTCTTTAGACATACACATAATGTATATATATATATATATGTGTGTGTGTGTGTGTGTGTGTGTGTGTGTGTGCGCGCGTCCATGTGTGCATGCACGTGTGTGTGTGTTCCTCAGTGCTCCTCGCTCAAAAACCAGTAGGAGGAGGTCACTTTGTAGAAACCCAAAGCCAAGTTGTTTGAGGAATGGGCCCATAAATGGGTGATGCTTAGAACCAATCTAACCTGCACTGGTTCTTTGACCCTTCTCTATTTATACATACTCATTAACGGCAGCCCTGCTTTTTGAACACTCAACAGTGATTATTCCCACAGCCTCTGACCCTTTCCTCAATGAAAACCACATGCTTTATCCATCCCAGTTTATGAGGACAAACCTGTAATACAAATGTTAAAAAAAATCATCCTATTATGAAATGAGTATGTTTTAAATCACAAGGTAATCAAGCTACTGTCAAACTTAGCATTGAAGTAACTTTCTGAAAGACACAATGGAAAATAAAACACATCAGCATGTACCATTGAAGATAATCCAGCATAGATGCTCCTGTGGCAGAGCCACCTGCATGATGAGCCTTAAGAAGGACAAGATATGCAGACACTGGACCACGGATTCTTTATTCCGCAGGTTTTCATCACTGTCACAGACCAGCTGGTAGTTGCACATATTTTTGCCACTCAAAGCTTGAAACTGAAACACATGGAAAAATAGAAATAGAAATAACTGGCCAGGCATGGGAGCTCACATCTATAATCCCAGCACTTAGGGAGGCTGAGGCGGGTGAGTCACCCGAGGCCAAGACTTTGAGACAAGCCTGGCCAACATGGTGAAACCTCTCTCCACTAAAAATATAAAAATTAGATGGGCACAGTGGTAAATGCCTGTAATCCCAGCTACTCAAGAGGCTGAAGCAGGAGAATTGTTTGAACCCAGGAGGCAGAGGTTGCAGTGAGGCAAGATCGCACCATTGCACTCCAGCCTGAGTGACAAGAGTGAAACTTCATCTCAAAAATAAAAAGGAAGAAAAAGATAGAAATAACTTAGGAAAGCATTTCTCAAAATGTAAAAAACTAAACTGGAAACAATTGTGGATAACTAATTTAATAGCTTAGTATACAAAGAAACATGATAGACAGGTTTCTTTAAAACATCCCTTTACTTAAGACTAACTTTCCTTAGTCAAAAGAAATTTAAAAGCAAAAACAAAAACAAAAAAAATACAAAAATCCTATTACAAAAATACAGATTTGAATCAATTGTTGTAAGCTCATCCAGTGGCATTTTAACTTTTTATTAATTCAGACATGATTTAACCATTTACGCAATTCACTCAATAAATGTTTCTTGAGCATTTAGCCAAGAAACCTCTATTAGCCACACTCTGCTAGGCAACAGGGACTCTAGGATAAGGAAAAAACAGCCCCTACTCTTGGAGGAGGGAAAACAGTTCCCAGCTCATGCATCTAGGTTCATGCAGCACTGAAGCGACTGCTCTGGTCACTGAATTGTAAATCTTTTGTAAGGTTGAATGAGAAGGTTTAAAATAAAATATGGCCAAGGCAGGCAGATCACTTGAAGTCAGGAGTTTGAGACCAATATGGTCTGGTCAATATGGAGAAACCCTCTCTCTACTAAAAATACAAAAATTAGCTGGGCATGGTGGTGTGCACCTATGATCCCAGCTACTCAGGAGGCTGAGGCAGGAGAATCACTTGAGCCCAGGAAGCAGAGGTTGCAGTGGGTCAAGATTGCAACACTGCACTCCAGCTTGGGCAACAGAGACTCTGTCTCAAAAAAAAAAAAAGTGAGGGCATTATAGGGGTGACTCAGGCTCAGAAAAGTAGAGAGCACTCCATATATTCCAAGGAATTTGGGCTTTAGCCAAAAGGCAAAGTCACTGGGTAGTGGAACAAAATGACAGATTTCTACTTCAGAAATTAATTGGCCAGGCATGGTGGCTCACGCCTGTAATCCCAGCACTTTCAGAGAGGCTCAGGCAGGTGGATCATGAGGTCAGGAGTTTGAAACCAGCCAGACCAACCTGGTGAAATCCCATCTCTACTAAAAATATAAAAATTAGCTGGGCATGGTGGCATGCACCTGTAATCCCAGCTGCTAAGGAGGCTGAGGCAGGAGAATCACTTGAACCCGGGAGGCAGAGGTTGCAGTGAGCCAAGATCTCACCAATGCACTCCAGCCTGTGTGACACAGAAAGACTCTGTCTAAAAAAAAAAAAAAAAAGAACGAATTCTGGCAAAGTGTGAAAAGCAAAAAGCAGAAGGCAGGAGGTCAAGGCTACAAAGAGGGGAGTAGGAGAGACCTTTTCCCCCAGTGGGGTGCCAACCTACATTGCCCAGTATTCTCATTCATGTACCTATGGTACAGCCAAACTGAAGTGTTCAGTGGTCCCCCAAACAGGCCTTGGGATTTTCTGCTTATTAATCACATACTGTTCCCTAGGCCTTGAATAGTCCTCAGTTTGAAGTAACATAAATTTAGAGTTAGTCTGATCAGAGTTCAAACACCAGCCCTGCTCATTGCTTTAAGTGGGCTAAGAAACTTCCATTTCCTAATCTGTAAAAGAGGCACCTCTTAGGACTTTAATGAGGTTGCAAGATGATAATTCATACAATGTATTTAGAAGGGTACTTAGCACATGGAAACTGCTCAACCAGCGAATCAATGGTAGTAATTAACAAAATACTGGTATACTAGAAATAAAGTATAAAATTTTTAAATCAGTAGATTTATGTTTAATCTCAAGAGCCGCTTTTTTACACGATGTGATAAGCTTTATTCTTCTTTTCTGTAAAATAGGGATAATAGTGTGTAACTCATAAAATTACTTTATCAAATTTACTTTCCAAAGCACTTTATAAACTAAAAGCACTCTACAAATATTAGTTATTAAGTAACAATAACTATCTGCTACATGAATGAGTGACTGCAGCGACTTAGTCTCCAAAGCATCCTTACAAAGCTTAATAAGTTCACTTTCTTATCCAGCACTGAATGTATTTATTAAGCAACTTACAACACTTGGCTAGATGCTATGCTAAGCCAACAAAAGACATTTAGAAGTGGTCAACTGAAAGATATACTGCATAGCTAATCATAAATTATAGCTATTTTAGCTGCTCATTCATCTTACTGTAAGTCCGGCAGTTTTATCTCTAAAGCCTTTTGGGAAAAAGGCAGCTTTGAATTGAGTTACATCCACTTTATTCTCATCAAAATTGGTACTGAACTGCTGAAGATATCTTCCATAGCATTGTAAAAGGGCCAGTTTGTATTCCTGAAATAAAAAGAGAACTTGATTAAAATTTCAAAATATCATTTAACTTATAATTATTAGGTAAAATTCATATTATTAATGGTATCAGTGTTGATTATTACAATTATGCCATTGCTACCAGTACCATTTTCCAAAAACACAGCAGTCATAGGCACTACGCTAGACAAAGTAAGTGCATTATTTCATCTGCTTATCACCAAAAGCCTAAGTGAGATGGGACTCTCATGATCACAAGGATGAGAATACTTCCTATGGCACTGTGTGTGGTAATACCTACATATACTCAAAATCCAGGCTCCAAAATTCAGCATCATCAGATGATGATAACTCACATACCCAGAGAGGTGGAGGAGTAGTCTTGCTTCTCTGATACCATATAGGCTTGAAAAAGAAAAGAAAGGAAGAGAGACAAAGGAAGGGGAAGGAAGGAAGGAAGGGAGGGAGGGAGGGAGGGAGGGAGGGAGGGAAAGGGAAGGAAAGGGAAAGGGAAGGGGAGGGGGAAAGGGAAGGAAAAGGAAAGGGAAGGGGAGGGGGAAAGGAAAGGAAGGGAGAGGGAAAATAAAGGAAGGAAAGGAAGGGAGAAAGAGAAAAGGAGGGAAAGAAAGAAAGAGAAAAAGAAAAAGAAAGACAGATGGGAGGGAGTGCAGGGAGAGGGAGGGGAGGGAGGGAAGGGAGAGGGAGGGAGAGGGGAAGGAAGAGAAGAAGAAAGAGGGAACCAAAGAAGAGAACATAAAAGAAAAAATGCAGAGTGAGGTGAGCTAGCTGCCTCTCTTTCAACTGTCAACAGACTCTGAAGTTGCATCAGGACAAATAAAAAGCATCTGAGCAGTGGATTTTTATTCATTCAAATTCATGCTTATGTTCCCATTACAGAATCAGATGCCCCATTTCTGTAACCCACAGGGCTCGGTTACCTGGAGGGTTTCAGGGTAGGGAAGAGGGGACATGAACAGTGCTTTCAAGATGCATCACCTGTCCAGTTACCTAGCCCCTTGGGAGGCACCTACAATCAAACACTGTTATGTTTACATTTCTTTCTTTTTTTTTTGAGACAGAGTCTTGCTCTGTAGCCCAGACTGGCGTGCAGTGGCAAGATCTTAGCTCACTGCAACCTCCGCCTCTCAGGTCCCAGTTCAAGCAATTCTCCTGCCTTAGCCTCCAGAGTAGCTGGGATTACAGGCACACGCCACCATGCCTGGTTAATTTTTGTATTTTTAATAGAGACAGGGTTTCACCATCTTGGCCAGGCTGGTCTTGAACTCCTGACCTCATGATCCACTCACCTCAGACTCCCAAAGTGCTGGGATTACAGGTGTGAGACACTGTGCCTGGCCTGATTAGTTTTTTGCTCACTAATTAATCTTGAATCTTTTCTGCTCTAACTTGATTGACATAATAAATTCAAATTAAAACAAATATTCCACAAGATGATCTTTACTACAACTAAAATAAAAATAGAGCCTAGAAACCAAAGTAACAAGTTCATTTTCAGAATTATAAATACCTTTAAAAGAAAAAAAAAAGGAGAGACAGGGTTTCGCCATGTTGCCCAGCTGGTCTCAAACTCCTGGGCTCAAGCCATCTGCCTTCCTTAGCCTCCCAAAGTTCTGGGATTACAGGCGTGAGCCACCATGCCCAGCCTGGCCAACATTCCCTTCAGTGAAAAGTAGATAAAACTTTTTTTGTTCCTTTAATTAAATTTTAAAATATCCTATCTAGGCCTTTCTATCTAAAACATTCTGAATCCTTAGCTACTAGCCCTCTTTAACTTGCTTTATCAGCTTCTAACATACACCTCCCTCCTCCCTCCACCAATACCCACTCCACCCCCACAGATTTCTCAAACAACCCCAAACAGTGCTTTTTATTTGTATTACCAGCTTCTTATACTGCAAAGTATAAGGATGGAGAGCGGACTGTCTTCTAATTCTTGTGGAAACTTTTATTCCACCTCCATGAATAAAGCTTACAAGTTGAATCTCACCTGGGTTTCTTTTTTGTAGCTTACCAAGGCCTGTATTTTCAAGTTTCTAAGACCCACATGGTCCATTTACATGGAACTATGATTATTCTCTAGTTTTGGCAGGAAAATAGATCTTACTTAGTTCTTCATTATGAAAGTTCCACCACTCATATCCTCTATTTGGTAAATTTGTCTCTCAGACCAAAAGGATTAAAGTCCAGAAAATAGAAACAGAGGGGAAAAAATGAAGTTGAGAAACTGAAGATTAAGAAAACACTAAACACTGCCCACGGCTGGCCTAAAATCCCATTGTCTGACATTCATATAACTTAGAATAATTTGGACCTATGCCAGAGTTTAAGGGGGAAACTCACATGATCATTAATGGAAAACCCAGCCATGCTGTGGTCTCATCAAACCAAGTCCACGAGTCCACAGCATTCCAAGACCCAGGCATTCAGACAGAACTAAAATTAAGTAGGGCACAAACTCAGCCTGCAGTACAATACTGAGCAAGAAATAGGGTGTGTATGGAACAACCGTTGTAATTATATACAGCAAAACATTAAGAAAGAGTTGAAAGACTTGAATAAACAGGGCACTGAAGCAGGCAAAAGAGCCGCAAGGCCAGGAGCCCTGAAGGTTGACCACTGGGCAAGGCCAGCCATGTGAAAAACAACAGGAAGTGATAACCGGGCTCCTTTGTATAAGGTAGGAACATGATGATTCAGCACTTCCTGTTGTGCGCCTACCACACCCTCTGTTAACCTGGCCTCGCTCCTGCCCATCCACAGCCAGCTGCCTGTCTGTCCAGGAATGTCTCACCTCTGGGAAATCTCAACTACAAAACTAAAAAGCAACACTTTTTTTGGTTACTGTGCCTTAATTAAAATTTTTATGTACTCATTTATTTTTTTCTAAGAAAAAAATCAAAACATGTAAAATAGGAATGGTATCAGAGTAAATACTGTAATAATAATAATTAGCCACATGAATTTCTTTTTGGTTCTCTTTCCTCCAGAGGCACTTACTTTCATTTGACAAAGGCTATCTCCAACCTTCAGAAGCTTTTCATTGTAATAGTCAGCTGGCAGCCTGGGGGCGTATTTAGTCCAGATATTAAACAAAGAAGTGGCACTATAAAAATCATAAAAAAACACTGTCAAGTCTACAGGAAACTTCAGTTAATTCACAAGCAATCCTTTAAAACTTACCTTGTGCTAAGCCTTTCCAATGTGCCTTATTTTTAATGTCCAATTATTAATAATAAATGTAATTACAGTTAAAATTATTGTTTGCTATGTGCCAAGAACTGATTGTAGCCCTTTACATGTGTTTTTAAAATTTTTTTTATTATACTTTAAGTTCTGGGTACATGTGCAGAACATGCAGGTTCGTTACATAGGTGCTGTGGTGGTTGCTGCATCTACCAACCCATCATCTACATTAGGTATTTCTCCTAATGATATCCCTCCCCTAGTCCCCCACCCCCCAAGAGGCCCCAGTGGGTGATGCTCCCCTTCCTGGGTCCATGTGTTCTCACTGTTCAACTCCCACTTATGATTGAGAATATATGGTGTTTGGTTTTCTGTTCTTGTGTTAGTTTTCTGAGAATAATGGTTTCCAGCTTCATCCATGTACCTGCAAAGGACATGAACTCAACCCTGTTATGGCTGCATAGTATTCCATGGTGTATATGTGACATATGCATTCTTTTTTTAGATACTTTACTTAGAGTAGTTTTTAGTTCACAACAGAATTGAGAAGGTATTGAGATTTCCCATATATACCCTGTGCCCCCAAACATGCACAGCCCTCCCCATTATCAACATCTCCGCTAGAGTGGTACCTTGTAACGAGGAACCTACACTGACACATCATTATCACCCAAAGTCCATAGTCTAGGGTTCACTCTTGGTGGCATCCATTCCATGGGTTTGGAGAAATGTATATAACGTCTATCTACCATGAAAACATCACAGAGAAGTTTTACTACCCTAAAAATCCTGTGTGCTCCACTTACTACTCATCCCTCATTTCCCCCTCAATCCTTGTTAACCGCTGATATTTTTACTGTCTCCATAGTTTTGCCTTTTCCAAAATGCCACACAGTTGGAATCATATAGTAGGTAGGCTTTTCAGATTGGCTTCTTTCACTTAGTAATATGCATCTAAGTTTCCTCCATGTCTTTACATGGCTCAATAGCTCATTTCTTTTTAGCACTGAAACCAACTCTGCTGGACCTTGATCTGGGACGTCCAGCTTCCAGAACTGTGAAAAATAAATAAATTTCTGTTGTTTAAGTCACCCAGTCTATGGTATTTTGTTATGGCAGCCTGAGCTGGCTAATACAGGACCTAAACCTAAGAACTGAAGAGGGCTTGAATACTTATGATATTACACACTTCAGCAATAATGAAACATCTAAACAGAAACCTGTCAATTAATTCATTTGGGTAATAATACTGATTGAGTCATTGATTGAGTGACAAAGAAAAGGCATCCCTGCCTTCGTGAACCGATTAAAAAAATATTTAGGTAGAAAAATATATGCATGCACCAAGCAATAAATAACAATGCCAAATAAACATGGCAAATATAAACCACAGACATTTAAAAAGGGAGAGGTGTTTGCTTTATTCCTCTTTTACTTTCATTTGCTGCTTCATGAAATGCCACGGTATTTCAATAAATATAATGAATCCAAGAAATTCACCAAGTCTTACTAGAATTCTTAAATTATGCAAATGAAATACATAATTCTTCTAAACCCTAAAGATGAGATGATGACTAGCTTTGTTACTCATAAAAGAAAAATACCAGCTTTGTTAAATCAATCACGATTATATAATAAGAAAGAAAAAAAATGCCTTTTCCTGTTGAACCCTAAATTCAGGTTAAGGCTGCTCACTGGGAATAGCTTACATAATGATTAAACTATATAATATATACTATATATAATATACAATACAGAATGTACACATATATATAATATATACTACAGAATGTACATCATTTGAGAAGAAAATGCTAATGTACTTGGGACTGTTGGCTGTTGCTAGATACGTAGAATGTCCTAAAATTTAAAATTGCCAGGCGAGCTGGCTCATGATTGTAATCCCAGCACTTTGGGAGGCCAAGGAGGGCAGATCACTTGAGGTCAGGAGTTCAAGACCAGTCTGGGAAACATCTCAAAACCCTGTCTCTACTAAAAATACAAAAATTAGCCAGGCGTGGTGACACGTGCCTGTAGTCCAGCTACCAAGGAGGCTGAGGTATAAGAATAGCCAGATTGCCTGAACCCAGGAGGCGGACATAGCAGCGAGCCAAGATCGGGCCACTGCACTCCAGCCTGAGCAACAGAGTAAGACTCTGTCTCAAAAAAAAAAAAGAAAAAAGAAAAGAAAATCATAACTGTAGAAGCAGAATATCTCAATCTAGGTGCTTATAGCAAAAAGCACATTTTTAAAAATGTATCACACTCTTTTTTTTTTTTTGTATCACACTCTTAAAGACATTTCTGGTACACCAATAATTTATATTGTAAATGCTATGAATTTTATGCTTATAGAAGTTTCCATAGTTATAAGGATTAACACATTTTGATATAAAAAATAACCAGCTGTCGACTGGGTGTGGTAGCTCACACCTGTAATCCCAGCACTTTGGGAGGCCAAGACAGGCAGATCACGAGGTCGAGAGATCGAGACCATCCTGCCAACATGGTGAAACCCTGTCTCTACTAAAAACACAAAAATTCACTGGGCACAGTGGTGCGCACCTGTAGTCCTAGCTACTCGGGAGTCAGGAGAATCACTGTAACCCAGGAGGCAGAGATTGCAGTAAACTGAGATTGTGCCACTGCACTCCAGCCTGGCAACAGAGCAAGACTCCATCTCAAAAAAACAAATAAATAAAAATAAAATAACATCTGTCAAATAAAAGCAACTCCTACATCCTATGCTTTTAACTGGTCTCTACACTGCTATTCTTGCTCCCTTTGGACATGATCATCAGAATAATATCTTAAAACAAAAATTGGGCTGGGTGTGGCACAAAAATTAGCCGAGCATGGTGGCAGGTGCCTGTAATCCCAGGTACCTGGGAGGCTGAGGTAGGAGAATCGCTTGAACCCTTCAGGCAGAGGTTGCAGTGTGCGCACACTGCACTCCAGCCTGGTTAACAGAATGAGACAGTCTCAAAAAAAATTACATAAGGGTAATCCCTTTCCAAAACTACCCAATGGAATAAATGGAAACTCTTTAAAATGGCCTCTAAAATCTTCCAAAGCCCTATTATTCCTCTAAATATCACCTCATGCTGTTGTACCTCTTTCACTGTGCTTCTGCTAAATGGGATTCCATCCATTCCTCCAAAGTAGGAACGGATCTGTTCTGCCAAGGACCTTCCTGAATTATTCTCCCCATTTATTCTCTCCGTTTGGTAGTCAACTCCCTGGCATCCTTCTAATCTCAGCTCAGTGGCACCTCCCTTACCACTCATTTGAAAGCAAGTCCCCACCATATTCTCTTTAAGCCTCTGCTTTAAGTGTCATCTACTCTGACCACCTTACTGAAAATTGCAACTTCCTGTCTTCCACTCCGCAACGTCTCCTTTTTAAATTTCTAATGGGAATAGATTATCTTCTTTTTCTCTCTAGCATTTATAATTTTTTTTTTTTGAGACAGAGTCTTACACTGTTGCCCAGGCTGGAGTGCAGTGGCGCAATCCCCGCTCACTGCAACCTCCTCCTCCCAGGTTCAAGCGATTCTCATGCCTCAGCCTCCCGAGTAGCTGGGATTACAGGCACCCAACATCACGCCCAGGTCATTTTTTTATTTTTAGTAGAGACGGGGTTTCACTATGTTGGCCAGGCTGTTCTCAAACGCCTGACCTCATGATCCACCTGCCTTGGCCTCCCAAAGGGCTGGAATTTCAGATGTCAACCACTGCACCCGGCTGCATTTATCATTTCCAAGTTACCATAAAATATACCTACTTCATGTTTATTGTCTAGTTCCCTCTCTAGACAACTCTAAGAAGGCAGAGATTTTTGTCTGGTTCACTGCTGTAGCCACAGTACCTAGTAGGACACCTGACACATGTAAGTGCTCAGCAGTTACTTTCATAGCATTTGTTATTAGCATATTAACTAATGACTCATGAAAAGTCTATCTCCCTCTCTAGACTCTAAGCTCCATGAGTGCTGATTCCCATTCTATTTTGTTCACCATTGTGTAACCAGTGTCTAGTACACGGCCTCACACATAGCAGGTGCTCAGTAAAAACTGTTGTATAAATAAAGGCCTAAATTGTGTGAGAGGCTGGATTAAGGCACATGTCAATCCAACACTTGTGATTATTAGTCTTTTTAAGGATGGTGCAGATGCTGTACTTACAGATTGGCCCATGTCTACTTTCCTATATGTAATATTCATAATTACTGAGAATATAAGGATAATAACCCTTGTGGGGTTTTTTTTTTTTTTGAGACAGAGTCTCATCATCACCCAGGCTGGAGTGCAGTGGTGCAATTTTGGCGCACCTGCAACTTTTACCTCCTGGGTTCAAGCGATTCTCCTGCCTCAGCCTCCCGAGTAGCTGGAATTACAGGCATGCACCACCACGCCCAACTAATTTTTGTATTTTTTAGTAGAGACAGAGTTTCGCCATGTTGGCCAGGGTGATCTCAAACTCCTGATCTCGGATATCTTCCTACCTCGGCCTCTGAAAGTGCTGAGATCACAGGCGTGAGCCACCATGCCGGCCAAGGATAGTAACTCTTGAATCCTTTCAATACTAAATATTTATTGAATGTTTACTATGTCCCAACCAGGCTAAGTGCCAGAAATACAGCAACGAAAGAGAGACAAATTATCCAGAGTCACCAGGGAGCTTACATCCTAATGAAGGAGACAGACAGTACACAATAAAACAAATCAATTAAAAAATATAAACATCTGAGTGACTCTGCATTAGATAGGAAAGGCCACTGTAAGAATGTGCCAACTGAGCTGAGGCCTGAAAGAAGAGGAGCTAGATTTCTGAAAAGCTTGGGAAAGAACATTCAGACAACAAAGACAGCAAATATAAAGGCTCTGGGATGAGAAACAGTGGACCTGTTTCTCTGACAAGTCCTGAGAGAAAACTGAGGGATGAGCTGAGCTGAGAAAGGCAGACAGGGTCAAAACCTCAGCCCCTGGAGAGTATCAGAATTCTGAAGTGTATTCCAAAAGCAATGGGAAGCAAGAGAAAGACGTTAGATCGGATTTATAAAGATCACCCTGACTGCTAGGTGAAGAACAGATTTGAGATAGAGTGGCTGCAGGGAAAATGTGAAATGGTGGTGGTTTGGACTAGAATGCTGGTAATGGAGATGGGAAGTGAAGTACAAAGATGGGAACTATTTAAATATAAATGTATAGGCCTGGCACAGTGGCTCAAGCCTGTAACCCCAGCAATGTGGGAGGCCAAGGTGGGTAGATCACCTGAGGTCAGGAGTTTTGAGACCAGCCTAGCCAACATGACGAAACCCCATCTCTACTAAAGATACAAAAATTAGCCAGGCATGGTGGTACGTACCTGTAGTCCCAGCTACTCAGGAGGCTGAGGCACAAGAATCACTTGAACCTGGGAGGCAGAGGTTGCAGTGAGCTGAGAACACACTACTGCACTCCAGCCTGGAGTACAGTGAGACTCCCTCTAAATCAATCAGTCAGGTAGACTAGGTATATAATAGGCTCTCCTTGGTCAATTCTTGGTTCTCATCTTACTTGGCCAGTCAGCAGGATTTGCCACAGTTGATCATTCCTTTCTTCCTGAAATACTTTCTCTACCTGCTTCCAGTACACCAGGCACTTAATGGTTTTCCTCCTACCTCCCTGGCTGCTCCTTCTTAGTCTCTGTTGGTTTCTTCATATTCCTTCTTTCTATCCATGTTGGAGCAACCCAGGAATCAATCCTTGGACTCTTCCTTTCTCCATTTATACACACACTCCCTTAGCTATTCATCCGGTGTCATGATTTAAATATCATAGGAATCCCAAATGTAGGTCTCATCTGACTTTCAGATTCAAATGTCCAATTACCTACATGATAGCTCCATTTGGATGCCGAATCGCATCTCAAGTTTTATAAAATTAAACTCTTGATCTCCCTCCCTCTTGCTCTTCCCAAAATCACAATCCCACCCCAGGTCTTTCCCATCTGCCATTCTCCCTGTGTGACCTCCTCTTTGCACAAAAATCCTCATCAATTGCTCCCATATATCTTTCTTATCTTTCTCAAAAGGGACTTTTCCTGACCTTCCCTAATCATGCTTCCCACAATCCCATTTAAAATTACAGCACTCAGGCCACGTACGGTGGCTCATGCCTGTAATCCCAATACTTTGGGAGGTCAAGGTGGGAGGATCCCTGAAGCCAGGAGTTCAAGGCTTCAGTGAGACAGGTTTGAACCACTGCATCCCAGCCTGTGTAATAGAGTGAGAACCTGTCTGAAAAAAACAGATAAAATTGGCTTGGCACAGTAACTCATGCCTGTAATCCCAGTAATTTGGGAGGCCAAGGCAGGCAGATCACGAGGTCAGGAGTTCGAGACCAGCCTGGCCAACGTAGATAAATGCCGTTCTTCTAAAAATACAAAAATTAGCAGGGCGTGGTGGTAGGTGCCTGTAATCCCAGCTACTTGGGAGGCTGAGGCAGGAGAATCACTTGAATCCAGGAGGCAGAGGCTGCAGTGAACTGAGATTGTGCCATTACAGTCCAGCCTGGGCAACAAGAGCAAGGCTCTGTCTCAAAAAATAAAAATAAAAAATTGCAACATTCATCTCATATCCTCCATCCCCACTGCCAGTTCTATTTTTCTCCCTAGCGGTCATCTCCTTGCAAAATTACTTACTTACATACTTGTTTAGTGGTTGTTTATACTCACAAAAACATATGCTCCATAAGGACATAGATTTTTATATGTTTTGTTAACTTGATGTTTTTCCAGTTCCTTGAACAATACTTGATATACAGTATGTGCTTAATAAATCATTGTTAAATGCATGAATGGAAAATATTTTATTATTTTTTTTTTGAGACAGTCTTGCTCTGTTGCCCAGGCTGGAGTGTAGTGGCAAGATCCCAACTCCCTGCAACCTCCGTCTCCCAGGTTCAATCAATTCTCCTGACTCAGACTCCTGAGTAGCTGGGATTACAGCCATGCACCACCTAAGTTTTGTATTTTAGTGGAGACTGGGTTTCGCTATATTCATATTAAATGCATGAGGAAAAAAATGTAAGTTAAAACTATTCACTATTCTGGTATTCTTTGCCACTTGTTTACCTTTGGAGGAAGAGAAACTGAACATTTCTACTGTTGTTTGCAACGAATTTAACCAGAAAAGATGGTAACATAAGCAGGAAATAACTCTGAAAAAAGTTTACAGTAATGACATGATGACAGAACCTCCAAAAAGGCAGCCGGGCACAGTGGCTCATGCCTGTAATCCCAGCACTTTGGGAGGCCAAGGTGGGTGGATCACTAGATCAGAAGTTCAAGATCAGCCTAATATGGTAAAACCCCATCTCTACTAAAAAAATAAAAATAAAATAATAATTAGCTGGGTGTGGTGGCACACCTGTAGTCCCAGCTGCTCCGGAGGCTGAGGCAGAAGAATTGCTTGAACCCAGCATGGCTTGAACCCGGGAAGCGGAGGTTGCAGTGAGCCGAGATCGCGCCACTGTACTTCAGCCTGGCAACAGAGCGAGACTCGGTCTCAAAAAGAAAAACAACCCTCAAAAATGCAAACAGTTGTGCAGAATGAATCGCAAAATTAAGAAAAAGTCACTGTAATCCTAATAATATAAAAAGGAATTAAAGTGCACATGTTCATAGGATTACATACTTCATGTATACATTTTTGGCTCACTCAAGGGTTTCACAACTTCATGTTGTGAGTATATCAATTTGTATATGGAGAAAAAGGAAAAACTTTGAGGTAGCTTAGGTTCATGAAGCCAGTTCTTGACACAATTAAGTATGTCAGCCCATGAACACATGCACTTTAACTCCTTTTTATATTGTTATTAGGATTACAGTGACTTTTTCTTAATTTTGTGATTCATTCTGCACAACTGTTTGCTTTTTGGGGGGTTCTGTCACTGTGTTATTACTGAAAACTGCGAACTTTTTTTTAAGGTTCTTTCCTACTTATGTTACCATCTTTCTTTTCTGGTCAAATATCAAATGGTGAGTTATGAAACATTTCTGTGTAGACTTTTATTTTGACCTAAGTAGGAAGCCAAGATATAACATCTTCCAGGAATTAAGAATTGTTAAGAGCGACGAGTCGAGTCTCCACTTCTTAAACTTTGTTTCTCTCTCCTGGACCCTTCCGCCAGGCCCTGCATCTGCATCGCGGAACCAGCTCTGGGCCACCACCTGCATCCTCAAGGCCTCTCCAGGGTCCCCTCCTCCAGCTGGTACCCTCCCCAGCGTCCTGCCAGCGCTTACCAACGCCGGCGGAATTCGTGCTTCTCTTCCTCGGTGGCAAAAGCCTTCTTTTTCCTCATAAAGCCTAACAACTCCCGGATCTCCTTCTCACAGGAGACCAGAAGCGGGTTTTTCTCGTCCAGCGGCCCATAAAACACGGCTATAGGCAACGAGTCCTCGGGGCAGGTACACTGAAGCAGCGAGCACCGGGAGTTACCGTTTGACTCCTTAATCACGGTGGAGGTCAGGAGCGGGGTTGACGGCAGTTCTGGCAGCAACCCCGAGGTGGTGGACTCATCCGACGGAGAATTCGAGGGGGCGCCCTGCGCCGCCATATTGACACTCCCGGCAGGCCTGGAATGTCTATGTGTACACGCGGTTGCCTGGCGACGGTCTCGTGGCAACCGAGCAACCCGCGCCCTTTCCGGGAAACACAGCGGCCCCTGGAGGGCAGAGTGAGAAAGAACCAGGTCCAGAAAGGAATGATGCTCCTTTGGAGGTTATGTTGCCTGGTTGCACACTGGCACCGCTGTATGAAATGCGAACAAAGAACTTTCTGAGCAGAGTACCAGCAAATATTAGAGCCGAAAATTTAAGATCACAAATCCACACTCTTTATCCATGTTGGCCACTTAATAACGATACTGATGATGACCATGACCATTAACATGTTTCAGGCATTAAGCATTTGAAACACGTACTTTCATTTGTCTCATTTAATCATCATAACTACTTTACAACGTAGGTTACTATTAGTATATCCATGTCACAGTTTAGGAAACCAAATCTCAAGGATGTTAAGTCATTTGACAAAGGTCAGAGTACAACCGTAGTGTCAGGGACTACCAGGTCCTCACCTTATGACTCCAAAGCCTGTGCTCAAAATAAAAAAGCTGTATTGATCACTCCCCAAAACAAGATTATTAATCAAATTGAAATTAGGGAAATATCTGGCAAGCAGTTTAAGAATTAAATACAGTTGGCCCTCCGAATCTCGGGTTCTTCATCTGTGGATTCAAGCAACTACAGACAGTAAATATTCCAAAAAAAATTAGAAATAACACAACAATAACACAAGATACCATATACAACTATTTACATAGCATGTATACTATATTAGGTATTACTAGTTACCTAGAGATGATTTAAAACATCATGAAGGATGTGCATAGGTTATATGCAAATACTACAGCATTTCATATCAGAGGCTTGAGCATCCGCAGATTTTGGTATCTACAGGTGTCCTGGAACTAGTGTCCCACAGATAGCCAGGGAGTACTGCCTATGTAACTGATCCAGTCTCCTCTATTTGTAACTTGAGGTCTGTAACTGTGGACATGATGCCTGTCCCTCTAATAATTGTGATATCTATTTATGCATATTCCAGCCTCACTTTAGTTATCTCTGTATTCTAAATTAATGTGCATTTTGCTCAACCTTGAGCAAAGGACATTAATACATACCAGTGTTTTGAAGTGTTAACTCTCAAAATACTTTGCATTTTAAACACGGTTAAGAGACTTTACTTCTGATGGGGAAACTACAGGCCTCCAGGGAACTGCCTGGGTAATTTATTCTTTCCCTGTTTATTATAGGCAATAGTCAGGGTTGAATTTATTAAAGTATGAGTTTTGAGCAAATAGAGAAGCTTCTTTTCTTATAAATTATGCAACAGCATAAATTAAGAGATGGACCAGCAATATTTGGTGGCTTAGAAAAATTGCTCTTTAATCCTGAAAATTATTACCAGTTCTATCACACTTAAATAAAGACAGTGACCCTAACACCCTGTGAACCCAATTTTCCATTTCAGATTAATAAGCTTATTGGACCACAGCCTGATATCTTTAAGTCTGACCTAATTTCATGCAGGCTCTGTGGGCCTGTGCTAATTTGTGAGGCTGGCCTAATATGTCATGTCTACTGTACCCTAATATTCTTTGAAGGATATTTTGCTCATCGGGGCAGGTAATTATAACCAGAGAACCTTCCTGGCAAGCAGTGAGATGCAATGACACCTCACTGTAGGAGTCCAATTCTCTAATCAGGATGTAGATATCATCCTTTGATCAACAAAGATTTTATCTTGTTCTCTAAGTGAGCAATGAAAATTTTAAGCCTTTAAAGAATGTAGTCCTAGAGAAAGAATTCATCACTGGGCGTTTACTAAAATATTAATAGGCTTTTTTAAAAGTCAGCTTGGTAAATTCTCTTTTTTTCCTCATCTTTTTCTTGTTCTCACATGGCAGATTTGTCCATTGCAGATCAAAAACTGGTGTAATTTGCCACTGAGTGCTATCTATTATATTGATGGAAGTGAAACAGCAAGATAAAATTAAAGTGGTCACAGAAGAGGAAAGAAAAAAGACAAAGTGGTGTTTTTCCCTCTAATCTGGATACTCTCACAAACTTTCTCATAGTGCAGACACTTACATTTCAAAGTCACTGGCAAAAGAAAATGTGACTAAATTGAAATACCTGAATTATGAAACATTGCATCTTAGTCACCTTCCTCCTTGCACGGACTAAAGCTAACAATGCTTAACTTGCAGTAGTTTTTGGAAATTTGTCTGAATATTTAAATGGGTGTTATATTCTGACTCATCATTATGATAAGATGGAAGATTACATTTTATTTAGTTTAAATTGAATTGGCTGAGTGCAGTGGCTCATGCCTATAATTCCAGCACTTGGGGAGGCTGAGGTGGATGGATCACTTGAGGTCAGGAGTTCAAGACAAGCCTAGCCAACATGTTGAAACCCTGACTCTACTGAAAATACAAAAACTAGCCAGGCATGGTGGCACAGGCCTGTAATCCCAGCTACTCAGGAGGCTGAAGCAGGAGAATCACTTGAAGCCAGAAGGCAGAGGTTACAATGAGGCAAGATCACACCACGGCGCTCCAGCCTGGGCAACAGAGGGAGACCCTGTCTGAAAAATAAATAAATAAATAATAAAGAAATAAATGGAATTCAAGGCATTTTTAACATTTTAGAGGTGTTATCTTCCTTGTAATTAGATACAGCCATTATAATATCTTTTCTATTTTCTTGTCATTTTGCTTTATTCTTTTCACTGTAATGAAAGAATGGAGCTGTGCAACTACTGTGTCTGACAAGGCTAAGTAATTTCAATAGCTTCCTTATAAATAATGTAAATTGCTATTTCTTATAAAGATGTTAAATCTTTGCAGGCTGCAGGGATGCTTTTTGCCCATTCGAAAGTCTTTTTTATCTAAAGCTACTGACTGTTAAAGAATATATAAGGTTAGTGCCCTTTCCATTCTTAATTTAGTTGTTAATCATTTGGACTATCCCAAATAGATACAATATATACGGTCTACCTAATATGTAGACTTTTTTTAACTTCTTCATCCATTTATTCAGATAAATGCAAGCATTTCTTTAGTGTCCATATAATGCATAGATAAATCCATACATTCCCTACAGGAAGCAGGTAGCTCATACTCAAATAATCATGATAAAAAGGCATGCTATAGATTTGCTGGATGTGGTGGCACATGCCTGGAAGCTCTGCTACTTGGGAGACTGAGGCAGGAGAATCTATTGATCCCAGAAGGCGGAGGTTGCAGTAAGCAAAGATCACGCCATTGCACTGCAGCCTGGGCAACAGAGTGAGGCTTCATCTCAAGAAAGAAAAGAAAGAAAGAAAGGCATGCTGTGGAATGTGCTGTGAGAAAGGTTTAAGAAATAAGGGGCTGCTGAGTGTGGTCACTCATGTCTGTGATCTTGACACTTTGGGAGGCTGAAGCAGGAGGATTGCTTGAGGCCAGGAGTGTGAGATCAGCCTGGGCAACACAGTGAGACCCTGTCTCTAAAAAAAGGAAAAAAAAAAATTTTTTAAGTAGCCTGGCATAGTTGCACGCACCTGAAATCCCAGGTACTCAAGAGGCTGAGGCAGAAGAATCACTTGAGCCCAGGAGTTTGAGGCCACAGTGATAATCACACCACTGTATTCCAGCCTGAGCTACAGAGCACAACCTTTTCTCAAAAAAAAAAAAAAAAAAGGAAAGGAGAGGGGAGGGGAGGAGGCTGGGGTTGGAGGGGCAGGAGGAAGACTGTGGGAGTTCTAAGATGAATCTCAGAACTGGAAAGAGAACAGAGAATTCTAGAGGAGATAATGTTTTAGCCTAGACTGTAAATGCCTCTCACTTACAGAAAGACCCTTAAACAAGCATTTACCTTCTTACCATGGTAACCTAGCACCCAAGCCTGGCATCTGGCACAGAGTACAAGTCAACACGTCTTTGCTGGAATGAGTGAATAAAAAAAAAGATGAAGAACGTTTAGAAAGATATGCCTAAGAGAAAAGCCTGAGTAAGGAACAAAGCCATAAACACACACAGCTAGTTGAAATAAACAAGCTGTCTAGTGTGGTGAGCCACAGGCTGCCATCGATCCAGAGGCAGAAAATGAGCAGAAAGGGAAGTGCAATCAAGTACAATGGGTAGTTGGAAGGTATGCGAAGTAATTTTGACTTGGTTCTGTATTCAGGAGAGAGGCTTCGTGGTTTTGTTTTGTTTTTGAAACGCAATTTCACTCTTATCACCCAGGCTGGAGTACAATGATGAAATTTCGGCTCACTGCAACCTCTGCTTCTCCAGTTCAAGTGATTCTCATGCCTCAGCCTCCCGAGTAGCTGGGATTACAGGCCTGCACCACCATGCCTGGCTAGTTTTTTTTGTATTTTTAGTAGAGACAGCGTTTCACGATGTTGGCTAGGCTGGTCTCAATCACCTCAGGTGATCCGACTGTCTTGGCCTCCCAAGGTGCTGCGATTATGGGTGTGAGCCACCGTGCTCCTGTGCCCAGCCAAGAGAAGCTTTGTTTAAACAAACAAACAAAAGAAACAGTATATTGGCCAGGTATGGTGGCTCATGCCTACAGTCCTAGCACTTTGGGAGGTCAAGGCACGAGATCAGAAGTTGGAGACCAGCCTGACCAACATAGTGAAACCCCATCTCCACTAAAAATACAAAAAATTAGCCTGGTGTGGTGGTGGACACTGTAATCTCAGCTACTCAGGAGGCTGAGGCAGGAGAAGCGCTTGAACCCGGGTGGCGGAAGTTGCAGTGAGCTGAGATCACACCATTGCACTCCAGCCTGGGTGACAGAGTGAAACTGCATTTCAAAAAACAAACAAAAAACCCAGTATATTGAAGACGTTAAAAGCCCACACGGTGGCTCATACCTGTAATCCCAGTGAAACAGGAAAACTTCCTTCCTTTGTACCCCTTGCAGGGCATGTGATGTAGGTGTGGCTGGCTTCTTCAGTGCCCCGCCGCTCCGACCTCTAGGGGAGCATACAGACGGGCAGACTGTGGGGCTCCGACCCCCGCCCCCACCACGGCAGTGTCTA